ATATGCATCACTAATGAAGTACACAGCATTTGGTTAAAAGGAAACCAGTTCCCAAAGCATGCATGTTGGTACAAGCACAGATACAGCTGGGTCAGCACAAAGATACTTCTAGGGATCACACAGCATTAGTGTGCCATTCTGGAGAGAGCACCACCAATTCCTGCTGATACTAAACTAGACCTGTGAGAGACTAGAGAATTTTTTCCTTGAAGCTGGACTACCAAACATTCCTACCATTATTTCTGAAGATGCACCAACCTCCTGTTGGAGTGAGCAGTGGTGATGAGAGAACTTTTGTACCAGTACACCGACACAGAGAAATACAGAATGCTTCAATGCTCTGAAATTGCATTGCCCAGGCAGATCTTTGCCATGCAGCTCTCACAGATGCTGAGCTCTTGACCATCCCTCACATCTTCTGACCAGTAACATGTTTTTGAAACAATGGCTTACAGTGTTTTAGTTCGTGCCACAGTGATTGAAGAGCACACATTGGATCAGCTCAGTTTTGCCTGAGTTGATTGAAGAGTGAAGAGTGATTGAATTGAAGAGTGCATCAAAAGCTCTCTAAGGACTCACAGCCATTCAGACCAGAGATGACAAGCCTAATGTAAGTCCTCCAAAATACAGTGTAGCTATTGGGTACTCAGTGCCAGCAGCTTCACTCTAAAGATCTGCTCCTGTAAAACGTACTAATGCAAATATAGCTGAAGAACATTTAAATTGAGTTACAGCTCACAAGATTTACCCCTTACTCTGTGAGGTTTTTTTCTGTGCAACTGTCTGAAGTTCACAGCATAATTTTACTACTATTCTATAGGTTATTTACAAATGAAGGAATTTTGTAATCAGATAAAACAACCTGAAGAGCATCACACAACCACAGAGATTCTGAGATATATTTACGTTGAAGAAGAGCAGCATGCAGATAACATTTAAGTGCATCTCAGAATCATATGAATTTACAAGTGATGAAAAAATCAGTTGGTTTTCAAATGTTAATGCCCTACTTATTGCTCATACACTGCTGTAGAAAGATAACCTGTGGTCTTTTCAAAGGCAGAGTAGAGTCTTTTCTATGCCAGGTGGAGGTATTTCATGAAATAATGCATGCAAAAGCACAAAATGTGTTCAACCTTTATGGTCCAGATCTTGCAGGTTTTCAATCTGCTTCAGCCAGAGTTGGGTCTGGGTTTAACCTAATGAATCTGGGTCCCAAGAGACCCACATTCTCCCTGCACAGGTAGGTCAGTCACTCATTAGCAGTGTCCTTTCAAAATGCAGATGCTTAAAACTGCTGTGCTTAAATGGTACTTAAAGTGACATAATGTTGGGAGAGGTTCAGAGGAGAGAACCAAGACTGAGTACAAGCATGTAAGAGTTTCCATGCACAAAATGACTGAAGTAGGACTCCTAAATCTGAAGAAGATGTGATGTGGGTAAAATGCAGTTCAGAAATCTATGAATCTATAAGTCACATGTTGGAGAGGGAAGACAGTCTCTCTGATTCTCCCAGTCTCAGAGATGCAGGATGTCAAAGGAGGTCAGTGGGAGAATGAGGTTCAAAGTAAATATGAGATGTTTGATTGTATCTGTTGATACCACACCTGGGAATCGCCTTGGTAGATGCCAAAATCTAATGAAGTTCTCAAAGATCAGGAAAGAAAGAGCCACTAAATGTACTAAACAGAGATTCTATGTTGTGTTTGTGCCCAACCAGGATATTCCTGTTGCATAAGCAAAATACTTGCATCTGCAACACCACTCATGGCTACTTCAGTTTTCACTAGGCCACATGTTTCCCACTCCTTCCATTAGACTTGTCATGATGCCTTTAGATTGCTTGAAATTACAGGACAATATATTAAAACTAATACTTAAATTAAACTCTATTCTATGAACAGACTAGGAAAGTAAACAGACACTTCCATCTCTGCACATACCAGTCTAACATGCCAATACAGTGATTCATCACTTAATTCATGCTGTTCCCATCTTGCAGTTCTCTTAATCATAACTCACAACTCACATAGCAATGAACAAAATAGTCACCTAATAGACATTGAGAGTGCTCATTCTTCCTCCCCCATCACTTTGTGGGTGTCCCCTGTTTCACACCTGGAGGCAAAAATGTCTCAGTAGTCTGCCTGCTGTTGGATCCACTTCCAAAGATTTTTGGGTAAGCCAATGTATTTATAACTTCCAGCTTGGAAGTTTGATCTACATCATTTCCATAAGTTAGTGGGTTCTCAGGAAATGGTCACACAATCAATATGCCAGGATTATGGCTGCAGGTGATGGCAGCTGCATGATGACCTCCTCCCCTCCCTATCAATCACATCCTGCCTGTGTGTTGTTGTGGCTTTGAGTGGTGCTTCCAGCACATGTCAGGGCCTTGTGTCCACTCTATGGTAGCCAAAACCTGAGCAGGAGCTGCATGAGTGTTTTCAAGGGGTCCCTTTTATTCCTGGACTAATCCTGTGGAGACCAGACAGGCACAACCCTGTTTTAGTTGGAATGCAGGTGACTTATGGAAAAGGCTGAGCCCAGCTTGGATCTCCTCACAGGGTACACTCATCTCTCCCTTACTCATCCAGCTGTCATGCTGGCTCCAATATACAAGACAATTCCTCTCCTTCCATCGACGCTTTCAGTATACTTTAGACTTTCCTCTTTCATAACAGGGATATTAATTCTGGCTTTCCCACCTCCTCTGATCTGGTTGTCTTCCATTGTCTTCCTCTGTTGTGCCATCACTCAAATTCAGAAGTTAGCACCAGCAGCCACAGCCTTCTCCTTGGGAAAAGCAAGGACAAATATGAAAGCAATATGCTGAGAAGATGGCATGGCAGGAAGGAAAGCACCCAGCAGCAGAAAGGGGCCGGGGGCAGGTGTGTCACTGATTTGGCAGTGTTTATTGATTACTTTCAGTTCAAACCAATTATCACTGGTAGTACCAGTCACTAGAAAAGTCAATGCTCAGTCACATTCTCTCATTTTGGTGCACAAATCAGATGCTGCCATTGCTTGCAAAAGGTCACAGCTTGGTGATAACCTAGCAGCACGGGCACCGAGGCTTGTCAAGTTTTTTACCTGTAAAATCAATTATTTAATGCCCTGATACCTACTACTGGCTCTCTTTTAGTTTTTCTGTGCTTTATCCAGCTGCATGCTGTAATGCTTGCTGTTATATGTCCTTTTTGTAATTAGTGGACAGTCGGAGCAGGTAGTTATTCCTTGTAGAATGAACTATATATGACCTCAAAATAAAATGCAGCATAAAGGTTCATTAGGATGGGACGGTAACAGGGGCCTTGACTGCAGGTGTAGGATGATATGGGAGGCCTCAGGCTACAAATAGCTCACCAGTAGTTAATAAGTGTTTGTCAAAGGGTGCAACATTAGGAGATAGGTAAGAAAAATTCTAGATGTAACAAACAATGAGTACCCAACACATGTAAAATGAATCACGTAGCAAGTTAAGATCTACCATGGAGTTGAATCAATAAAAAAAGAACAAGATGTGGAGTGTACAAGAAGTCTGTAAAATGACCTCTGATGTATCATAGGGTGACAAGGAAGAAATTTTCTGTTGTGCTTATCCCAGTGAAGAGGAAGATAAACTCTCCCCACTAATATCAGACTCTGTTTGGTGGAGGACCTGGTGACTTGCTGATACACATGCCCCCACCAAGACTGAAGACATCAGAGGGTCAGTGTAGAAGTGCATAAAAAAGCAGAGAAAGTGGAGTATGCCATAAAGTTTATGTATACCAGTTTTACCTAATATAATTTGGACTATAAATGTCAGTATTATTGTAATAAAGATACAAGAATATAACTCCATCCTAGTTATTTCAGCTACTAATAATTCTCTGAGTAGATTAACAAGATTAACAATATATTCTTCCCAGGTGTAAGTTGTGTTTCCTTTTGATCATAGCAAGATTTTGAATGCAACAAGTTGATGGCTACTGGAGCAACCTGCCCCACAGCTTGGATGTAACAAGTTGGAAATAAATCAGGTGTGTTTCAAGAGTGACTTTTGTTTATATTTAGCATCTCTGAGCTTCTGGACTGTGAGAGCTGTGGAAACAAAGGTTTGATTTTGGAATGTTTCCTCCCCAATTCATCTCTGAGCTGTGATGGTTGCATTGAGGACCCAAGTTCAGCCCACCCAAAAAAGACCCTCAGCTGAAGAACTTGAACTCTGTAACTCTTTCCAGGTTCAGAGCTCCTCCTGATCTGAGGTTGGCAATCTGTCCTCACTATTTAATGATCACACCCTATGTGTACATAAAGTGCAATCACAGCACCCCCTGCTTCTCCAGTCAGGTTTTACCTGTGCTCCCTGTGACAGCCCATGCACAGGCTGGAGAGTGGCTGAAATCCTAGAGGCTATCCTCATTTTGTCCTTAGGTTTTTGTGACATCTTGGTGCACAGTGAGCAGACTCGTGGTGCCAAGGGCTGCTGACATCCCTGGTCTCTGTTCCCAGTCATCACTTCAATATATCCCTCTATAAACTATAAATAAAAATACTTCCTGCCTCCTGGCAAAGGTCATTCAGCTTAATGTGTGTTAGTAAAATCACTTGAAATATGTAGCTGAGAGAAGCACTTCTTAGAAACGAGACATAGGTAAGGTTTCATTAGGGGCAAACTGGTGCCTTAATGGTCTCTGATAAGGTAAAGCAAATTCCAGGGATTCTTTTTCCTGGCACTAGTGATGTTCTCTGGAAATCGTCACCTTCTCCAATTAATGAGATAGCCAGTTGTTGAAACAGAAGGAAAACCAAAGGAAAACAGTTAAAATTAGCCTGTAATTTTTTTTCCATTTAAATAAATATAAGTTTTTTTTTCCTTAGCACCAAAAAAGACACTGTTATTAGCATGGCTCAGAAGTGAATTTTTAAATTCTTACAATGAAGATGCAGCAACTGGTGTCTACAGTGCTACTATGTAGAAGTAATTGATCAAAATACAGAACACAACACACAAGTGCAATCAGACACGCTTTATTTTGAATTTTTATTACACTGTATTTATAAAATGCCTGGAATAGAAAGCAGGTTTATATGCAAGAGCACAAAATGGATAATTTTATTAGAAGATGTAGACCTTGGTAACACTGCTTAATTACCTAACAGAGATTCTCACCTTGCACTGACAGCACATTGTTCAGTTTCCTCTACCCCACAGACAGGAGACTTTGACATTGCAAAGTTTCTAATGTGGTCACATAAGCTGTATGAAATGAGGGTGTGTCCATGCCTGAAGTGAAAGCCTCCAAAAGTCTGGTTTTCCCAGACCCTGGGGTATGCCCAGAGTATATGAGGTGGGATGAATTTTTGCTTTGTTCCCCGCACTTTGGTAAAAAGAGCAGCTGCATTTTTCCCCTCCCAAGACTTTAACAGCTGGTTACAGGTCTTGCAGGAGGTACCGTGGGCAGTGTGTGGCAGCAAGAGGAGCAGAAGGGAAGGCATCTCCCTTGCTTTTCATTGAGACCACCAAACCACGTGGCCATCCAGTAAAACCCCAGGGTTTAAAGAGCAAGATGTTCCTTTTAACTTTAGAAGCTCAACTGGCTCCCCTGTGCTGTTAATATCTGATCTTACATACACACTGTGGCCAGAGGGGAGGAGTTGCTGTGGCTTGTGTAGGTTTCTGACTCTCAGGATACATCTTTATTCCTTTCCCAGATGAGTTTCTGTCCCTCAGTGTTGCTGGGATTATCCATGTAACAGGTCTTCATTCTGCTTTAGCCATGATTCTTGGGAACTATCAGGCAGGATTTAATCTGAACACATACCCATATCTTTAGTCTAAAATCACCCCCAGCTCCAGTGCAGGATATTGGCTAGGCTTGTGGGACTGGCAGGAGAAGACCCTCAGCTCTCTGGTCCTCTCCTCTTTCCTTCACCCCATTTGCCAGCCTAGACTGCTCTGAGACAGTGAACACTCCTGACACACTCATGTGGGAGATGTGTCTACAGGGTGGGTTCAGGAGTGAAAAAAAGGCAGAGAAGGGTGAAGAGAGAACACATCTTACACAAGAGCTATTGCCATAAAATGCACGTTTTCTGTGATAAAATCTGAGCAGAGGCAGAAAAAGCTCTGGATTTTCACCCAGCAAAGTAGAGGAACAGCATACCAACTGCATATGGGGTCTGCTGAGGGTATGAAGTGAGTATGTGCGAGTGCCTCCACACATGAGAGAGTAGGAGAAAAAGTACAGGGAAGTTGCAAGATGAAACAAGGGGCTGAGAATATTCTGGAGATAAAACATCCTGAGAGATGCCTCCAGCAAAGTGAGCTCTCCATGAACCAGAACATTATTAATTTGTAAGATAAAGTAGACCCTTTAGCCAGAAATACTTGTCTCTATTGCAGCCTGAATGATCTACCATAACATTGTGTAATTCAGTATAAGAATTTATAACACTGGGTTCTTTATTTTTTTCCTTCCCTTTTCAGTGAAATACCAGGCCTTAATTAAAACTAAAGTTCAGATTACTCTGGCGAATGGAGCTTTTCAAATTTCCTTGCAGCACTAATGCAAAAGACCATAAATACAAGTGAACTACAGGAATAATATGACCTAGAATTGCTTTTAATTACATATAGCTAATTTTAAATCATTCAGCATTCAGGTGCTTTTTGTTCTCTCCCCAGTCATGCCATTTAGTTTGCTTTATCAATTTTTTTTCAGCACAAGGATGACCAAAATAACAATAAGCAGATTTATACCTCTCCATCAGCCACCCCTTACCATGAAATTTTTAAATATATCTAAGTGAGAGAAGAAGGCAGCACCTTGGTTCATGGTTTCTGAATCTGGACATTCAGCTCACCATACACATGTCTCAAAGCATCAGAATTCAGGCTTGCAATCAACTTTCGTAAACCCGGTTGCATTGGGAAAAATTTTACTTCCCAGGTCAATGTAGAGTTCATCGGGATTCTCCTGAATAAAAAAGAGAAAAGTTTCAATATTGCAGTCAGTCAGCCAGTGCTCTCAACCTGACACACAACTGGAGAAACTGAAGGTGGATACTATAATATGTCTCAAATCCTTTGTTTCACTCATTCTCATAAACATGATACAAATTACTCTCTCCATCTTCTATTCCTCTCAGAACTGACCCTTTTAAAGCCTTTCCTCCAGGCTAATTTTAAATTTCCAAAATGAATCCATTTTCTTTTGCCTCCTGTCACTTCCTCTCATGATCACTTTCAGAATGACCTTCTTTACAGCTAACATATATTTTTTTCTAATTTATAATTCCATTTTTCAGGGCTATTATAGCCTATGGCCCGCTGGTGATTCTTTAAATGGTTAAAAAAAGTCCAAGTGTCCAGGTTATTCCCCTGCAAACCCTATGAGATGTTGAATCTCTCTGTAGTTCCTATCCTGAACCTCCCTGTCATCAGCAGATCTCAGTGGCCCCTTCAGATGACTTCTTCATGTCCATACAAACGAGTCAAAGTATTCTTGGGAGTCCTGCTGTTGTTGGTTTTTCTTTTACATTATGTATGACTCCTGATAATTCATATACGAAACAAACGCATTCTGCACTGTTCTTGATTTTCAATTTTTTTGCTACAATTAAGATGCATGGAGAGCCTCAGGTATTGGTTTTCTGTGTTTTCTCAGTGCTTTCACAAGGTTCTGTGTGCAGATTTTTAAGGCTGATATTTATTGATTGATTGATTGATTGTGTTTGGTTGATGCTGGGATACAACTGCTGCAAAGGAAGCAATGGACAAAGTAGTGTAGTGGGAAGCTTTTTATGAAAATTAATGGTATTTTCCTCAGCATTAAATAAGAGGGTTCTAAGTTCACTGTTCTTATCTCATATAGCTACAGTCTCTTGAAAACTGAACAAAGTGAGAGCAAAGCAAGCCTATACTTCAGTCACTGTTTCAAATTCTCATCTGGTAGGATTTGGTTCTCAGGTTTCATGTCCTATGCCAGGGTCAGGACAGAAATATCTGCCCAGACTTAGCACAAGCAGCCACGAGACAAGAAACCTTAATTAGTTCTAAATGAGCTAGCCTGGAATCCTCCCACCTGAGTATTTGTTTCAGCGCAGGTTTGCCCGTGTTAAATGAGGTATTCCAGCTCCTTAGAGGTTAGCTTAGGTATCTCTATAGGGCACTGCATTGCATTTTGCATATACAGATAGAGGTACCTTGGGGCATGTACCCACTTTTAGAAAAAAAAAGCAGAAAGAGATCATATATTTTTGATGTGAGCATGTGCAGACTGCTTCCAGCAAGTGTTTCTCCTTTTTTTATCTTTGTTATTAATGAGAGAGATTCTGTTCCCCATAGCTGGTTGGCTTGCATCCACCAGATGCCCACTAAAATGGAATTATGATAAACTAATGACTTCAATTGCTGAAGAAAGTAAAATACCTTTTAGAGTTTATGGAAATTATCTGCAAGAGATTATCTGAATAGAAAGTGAAGAAGTTATTTTACAAGTCTACTGTGCAGAGTATACTTCTTGAGCAGTTGAGGGGGCAGATTCTCTAAGGATGAAGGTTTTTGGGTCACAGCTTCACAGTACTCCAGTGAGAGAGGTAGCACTATCATCTTTGTTTTATAGTGCTACCATCTATGTGTGTGCATGTGTGTGTGCATGTGCAGGAAGACAACCACTGTGCTGGGAAACCAAACCTGCCTTTTCCTGTCTCTCTACTGTCCTATTTCTAAAACATGTTACTTCTCACTACAAATGCTAATACTAGCTTCGCTTTGACATATAGAAACACCCAAAATTACTTACCTGCTAGTGTGAAAGTGTGCTTGGCTATAATCCTTTTAGCACTATCCATCACTGCCTGGTTAATTCTCGTTTGTCATGCAAAGACTATGCCCTGTGCAAAAACTGCTGCTGCCAAAGGCTTTTCCATAACTCATGCTCCTCATCTGTCTGAGGCTAATAGCTAAATATCAATATCTTTACCTATATATAGACTTTATGAATGGTCAAGACTGAAGCCCCCAGGCCACTACATTGCCAGAATAATGTTGTATCAGCTAGGTCACACATTACCAGTTTTATGGAGCCATTCAAGTGATACAGAAAAGCTTCCTGAAAAGTACACAGAGGCCAAAAACCTGATCCCCACACAGAACTGTAAAAGCTCCATCCCAAATGTAACAGTCCCTAGTAAATAGGGAAGTGTTGGGAGGTGGGGAAAGCCTAGAATATGTTTAATTCTCTTTACAAATGGAGTAAGCTACCCTGATCTGATTTTCCTGGGAAAGAACTCAGTGATGAATGATTCTGTATAATGTGCTGAGCCATCACCACACTGGAGCCATTTATCACTTTGAATGCATGGAGACAAATGTGACTATTATTTAAATAAACTACAACTGCCCCTTGCTCTCTCCTCTGTGTGTATCACCTGCATCCTACATTCACCTCAGAGAACCTAAATCTTAAAATGACTAAGCTGATCCATTTCCATTTTCAATGCTGCCAAGAGCATTACTGAAAAGAGGAAAACATGGTGACTCTAAGGAAAATGATGTGTGTTCCATGAGTAATTTTTCTCCCCTCACTCTTTGAAGCACCTGATACTTTCTGCATCCTTGAAGGTGAGGGCAGTCCACAGCAGCTTTTGGATCGAAAAGGATGCAGAACAACAGGGAAGGCTGGCACAGCTGGGCAGCAATGAAGGCTATTGCCACAACTTGTGTAACTCTTGTGGACCATGCTGAGTCATGCTCAGCAGCACCTGTGACATACCATGTGCACAAAGCAAACACAGTATGTTGCCCTTTCATGGTTATTTTTCTATCAGCTCCACTCTGGAGATTGGTTTTGATCTTTTTATCCCTGTCCCAGGTGCAATCAGGCTCAGACCTCCCCTGCCAGCTGCAGAGGATGCTGACAATTTATGCAGCTGCTGAAGCACAGGCAATTTTTCAAACTCCTTTTACACACACCTGGGGACCATCAGCTCAGGTAATGATAGATACTAAGCCCAGATACACAGATGCCCAGGACTAAGCAATAGCCTAAAAATTTTCCAAGTTTCTCCATTATATACCCTTGGCTAATGCTAAGCTTATAACACTAAACTCAAATGGAAAGAGGATTTACAACTTGTTTAGCGTAGGAGTATGATGGTGTCAGTGTAAGATGTGACTCTGAGAATAATGAAAGTGACTTTCCTTTCAGGTCTGTGCCCCTGTGCTGGGCACATGTCTGTGTGCCAGGGCAGCCCTGTGCAGTGGAGCTACTGGGGGGAGCTGTGTGCTCACACACGCTGCAGCATGCTATGCCAGCCAGCTCTACAAACAACACACATTTTATGTCTTGACATGAGCTTGAAAAGATCATCTGAGGTACCTGAACGTCTTGTATAATCATGATTAACATGAGCAGAGAAAAGCCCTTTCTGAAAAACAGCATAGGACTCGATTTGCACATGCTGAGTGAGCGGCAGTAAACACTTTAAGCGCAGGATAAATCTTCCTCTGTGATAGCGACTTGTAGGTGCTATTGTCAAGTGCTAAAAACAATGTAATACAGTGAAAAAGTAAACTTGGGCTGCACTAGCAGCTACTCACAAACACTGCCAATTCCTCCAACCCCAGTACTGAACAGATGAAATGCTCTCACAATTTCTGTGGATAGCCTGATTTCTACTCACTATTGAGACCTATAGCTCCCCTGTGTATTGGATTTTAAAGTACAGAGAGAGTGTTTGAATTAAATTACTCAGCACAGCATTAGTTAAGTGTCTCCTGTGAGCTTCCTACTGTGAGCAAGCAGGGGACAAACTCCCAGTTGGTTGTGCTTTCTTCCCTACCCGAACTGCTTTTTTATTGTTCTCAGCACGCCAGGTCCCTCGAGGCGGAGCGTGACGTTCTCCAGGGTTTGTTTCAGAGGATTGGTGAACTCCACAGTCACAGACGCTTCTTTACCAGCTACCAGTTCACCTTTGGTCTACAAGACAAGGAAAGGACAATGCACCAGAAACTGAAAATAACAGATACACAGTACTGGCAAGGCAGAAGAACAGAGCACAGAGCAAAACAGCACAAGGCAAAGGAAGCCTAGTGAGAAGAAAATTGTTGGATGGCACATTTTTCTACCCATTGTAATTTTCCCTCAAACCACATGGCAGATCAAGAGGCAGGCCCTCATTTCCATAGAAAACCAGAAATCTGCATGTACAGTTCTGGAGCTGAGGGCCCAAGTGCAGGTGTGTCCAGCTGATGGGAACTCTCTCCCAGACTCTGCCCCGCTCCTCAGGCTCCCCACCAGCACTGAAGTGATCTGCTCAGGACATAAGCTCCAGAAGAGAAGGGCAGGTCTTACTACCCTAAATTAGAAACACCAGGCTGGAGTGGTTTCATCCTCAAAACTGTTGTGCCCATCTTCCTCTTGCTTTTGCATTCTCTTCTCGTGCTCTGAAGGGTTTCTAAACCTGCACATGTGCTCTATGGAGGCCTGAAGGCCAGTTTTCCTCCAAACCCTAAGTAAGCAAAAGAGCAGTACATTTTGCACTGGAAAATAGTAAACCTCCAAACAAATGTGTTTTTAAACAACAGCTACATACGTGGGGGTTTGGGGTTCTTTAGCCCCCTGGAAACTCAGCATTTCTCACAGAATATGTGTACTTGTTTTTGTTTGTACTTGCTTGGGCAAGGGTTTTCAACTTACAGCTGGCTGACCTTCTGGCCCACTTCATGGTCCATCAACTGATTTAAAGGGCCTTGAGAAAGGTAACTAAGAAAAACAAGTATCTTGTCCATAAATTTAAAGTGGTGTTTTAAGGAAGTATGACATTTGCAAAAATCTGCGTAGCCTCCAGTCTAAGGGATTACTCTGTGCCAGAAAACAATAAAATGAGTGGAGTAAAGAAGGAGATACATCTATGCTCTCAATAGCATTTGGCCACCTGAATGTGCAATAGGACACCAGTGGCATTTTCAGAAGTCTTGGCTCAATTAGAGAGCCCTATAACTTCTTTATTTCAACTGACCATTTAAGATCACTGGGTATGATTCAAAATCATCCTGAAGTCCCACACTTGCAGCTGAGACCATGATATGTATTTGCTGGTCTTGTTTTTGTAACCTGGTCTCAAGGTTATAGTCTCAATATGGTATAATTTCCTCAACTGTTGGCTCTGACAATCTCCTTAGACCAACAGAGAAAGATCAAAGGTGCATCTGAAGACATCATGGGAGATACATTTTTTCATTCTTCTCTCATTCTCGCATTAAGAAATTTGGTCTGCCAGTCACATTCACTGAAAAAACTTGACAAGAAAACTAAATAGATAAACTATCTCAAATTTCTTTAAAAAGCTATACATCAAAATTTCCTCTATCAATACATGCTCACACACATGCACACACATACACCCCTCCTTAAAAAAAATCCAGCTTTTAAAATTTCATTTTCTTTGCATAAATCACAAAGAAACAGAAAAGAGAGAACCTTAGTTTTACTTGAAAACATGGGTTTTGGACAACAGCCTATTCTATATGCTAAAAATCCTTTCTTCAGAACAGCAGGGAGATTATGCTATTTTGAAGTTGAAAATCTGAGATGATGCAGAAGACGTTCTGTGTAAGTACTGAATTGAAAGAATTTTTTACTTTTAAAATTTGGTTATTGAAAACAGGTATTTGAAGTAGAATTTCCTTGTCTTGTTTACTTCCTCTCTAGAATGCTCAGTAAACCAAAAATATTTTGTTTGAAAATACAATTATCTGATCAGAATATAATAATATTTCTAAAGACCATGAAACAGGGTAGATTTTTTGGCAAACTTTGCTGTAGTCTCGATCCACATTTCTAAAAAAGCTTTTTTTGCATAAGGCTGCAGTTGCTACATAAATTATTATATGGAAACCCGAGCACTGGTTCAAATAAATATAGAGAGAGGAAAAGTTGTATAAACTTAGATTTCTTTCAAGGTCCTGAATTTTATGGAGCTGTATTCATGCTTATATAAAGCTTCCTGAACATGTGTTCTGATTTTTTTTGTAGTATTAGGAAAACAGCAGATCCAAATTCCATCATTCAAAGCAGTTGAAGGCTTGGTGCTTTTGAAAATGATGTAATTTATTTGGATGCTCAGTTATGAATTGAGAAGTTTAAATCCCAGTTAAAGTGGTTTGTTAAGTTAATCTCAGTTGAGTTAAAATGGCTTGTTTTTGCCATACAACATAGGCTCCTTGTACTTCACAAGCATTACTCTTCTCCATTTTCACAGGTACCACACCACTGCCTGCAGAAATGCTTCAACTTTCAGAGAACACCAGTGACAGTACATTCAGAGTGGCAGCAGTGCACTGAAATCCCAAGTCATTGTCCCAAATCAGTGCTGCCCGTCCAAGTTTGGAGAAACTTTGCAGAAGCTCTCCAGGCAAAATCACTTCAATAGCAGTGCTTATTCTTCAGCAAGAGGCCCCTGTGCTGTGTTGCTTTAAATATAATGGATTTCTGGAGTAGTTAAAGAACTTGAGTGGCTTGAGTGAGTAATCTCTCTTACCCTTTGAGTTTCTTCAGCTTTCTCAGATGGTGCCCCCTCTTTCCTTTACTGGATCATTTCAGCTCTTCGCTGCCAGTGCTGCTCTCAGCCTCTCTCTTCAATGCAGGGACACTCAGTACACTATACAATGTACCTATTACACCCTCACACACTCCAGCCAGCCACTGCCTTGTTAGGTCCATGTTAGATGCTCTAATGTGCATAAACACACACACTCGTCTGCCCCACAAGTCAATGCAACACCCTTGTAGAGAACACATCCCTTCCACCACAGCCTGGAGCTACCTTGATCCGCAGGGTGGGAATTTCCAGCATTAGCGCCTTCTGCACGGCCAGAATCTTCCCCGTTTCATTGATCCGCGCGGTCACAAAGAAATGAAAGGAGGCTTGCTCCAGCAGGTCTCTCATGTACTCACTCGATTTGATCACAATGTCGAAAGAGCTGGCTGAGGGAAGACACAGGAAAGAAAAAAAGGCATCTGAAGCAATCTAATCACTAACTGCTCCTCCCATGGAGCAGTGCCAATTTCATGAGTGCCTTGGAAAAAAGGCGGCTTACGAGCCAAAGAATGGCTTTGATTTTTTTCCCCAAATGAACTTAATTTCGTTACTACACCATTTCCCCTCTAATTTTCCCCTCTTTCCATTTAGGCTGTGAGCTTCCAGGGGCAAGGGCTGGGTTTGTAGCCCAGTCCCCTCAATATGGGCCAGGTCACTGTTGAAGGTTTCTAGGTGCTACCACAAAAGAAATGAGAAGGAAGGCTGGAAATACATAGCTACTGGGCACATATGTCCAAACCAGTTTTTGAGTGTCATTCCTGTAAATGTTTGCTCTTTCAATTTATTCCTGTTCTTTCTTGGCCTCTCTTCTTGGCACAGAGATGCCACCAGAGTAGCAGCTGGGGGGAGTGAGCCCATGCAGGCTACCTGGGAGATCACCTGCTCTCCAGGATATGGCTGGATATATGCCTTTGTTCTACACTGGACTTGACTGCAAAATTTAGCAAGAAGCTCTTCCTGTCACCAGCATGCCCTCCAGAGAGCTTTCACGTGATCTCTGACAATAATTATTGGAAGAAACAAGTCCCTGTAGGCTAGACAGTTGAGAAGCAGGGAATCATTAATTTTAACTATATTGAACTGCAATTCCCAGACCAACAATGGTGTGAGAATGTGATGCAGAGAATCAGACCTGCTAACTAACTGACCAGGCAAAATATATAGACCTGGAGCTCTTCTCTCTATAAACATTCATTATAACCCTAGTAAACACATCAAGATCTCCCATCTGTTACCTATGATGATTACTGTTATCTGTTATTTGTATTGTATTTGTGACATACACTGTAAACACTGAGATAATTGAACTCAGTTGGGTAAATGACATTCACCCCTTTTTGCTCTTTTGATCCGCTCACATCAAAACCAGTTCCTTGATTTGGTTTCAAAGCTATTCCCTTGGTAGGCACCTGACCTGGATTTACTAGGCCAGCCTTAAATTTACTTGATGTGCTCCAGCTCCCTCCCTCTCACTCTTTATCTTGTTTTAAAGAATTTCCCATAATACTCTTAACTGTAAATTATAAATCAGCTGAGGTATTTCTCATCTGAGAAGTAAATAAGTAAATAAATTAGTTACAAACCAAGAGAAATTCACTTTACAGTGGAAGAAAAGACAAACTTTTCTGTTTAAATTTAATCACTGTAGGGAAAAAAAGAGGAAGAAGAGACTTCCATTGCCTTAGCACTGGTTGTGCTGGCAAGTTCTCAGTACCACTTACTGCATCTGGGAAAGCCAAGGGAGACACAACACTGAGTTGCCTTACTGTTTTTCAAAAGAATAGAGAAAACTAAATATAACTCAGTAGATGTGAGAGCACCTTTGAAGGCACTGAAAGGTTTAAGCTATTCAAATCCTCAAAGATGTTTCCAACCCACACAATTCCTTTAATCATTATTCTGAAAATCATTCATTCGTTTCCTGTTTGAAAACCTAGCTTGCCTCATGCTTTTAGTATTTTGGGCTGGAAGAATGCCTTTAATACGTCTGTTTAGCATTGTAATTTTTTGTCACATATAAATATATACATATTTATAGGTACATATACATATATATCTTCTTGCCCTGAACAAAACCTACAAATCCTGCTTGGGTGCCTCGGAAGGTACCCTCCCATTACACCCCTGACAGATTGTTTTCATGCACTTGCAGATAATCACAGTACCTTCCTTCACACTGCCCACCTGCTCAGACACTATTCCTGATCCATGTACTTCTTTCCAAGGAAAAGGTGAAAGAATTCATGCTCAAATTTCATGTAACAACTTCACACCTTCAGAAATGGGGTAATTTGTGAGGTGCTTTTGTCCTGTTGCAGAACAGAATGCCCCACAAGCTGATGACTGTAGCTCAGATATAAGCAAATTCCCACCTTGAAAAGTGGGAGCAACTTTTAAAATATCTTATTGGCCAGAAGCAGTGATGGGGACATACTCTTGGTACACATACATAAAAATCCATGTTCTGTTTTTTCAGGTCTCTTTCCCCAGTCAGTGCTCACTCACCATCGTTCAGTTCAGTTTCCAGCACTATTTCAAGAAGCTTTTTTCTTAGCATTTACTTAACTTAGAAAAAATGAATTATGATGCTCAGTGATGTTTAAACATCTATTAATTTCATTTCTTGCAGAGAGGAGCCAGGTGATCCTCAAAGCACTGCAGAAGCTGTATTTTAGGTATTAATACCTACACAGGCCTTTGATACAAGAGCAGGCAAAAATAAGTCCTGGAACCATGAACAAATCACAGCCAGAAACTGTAGCAGGCACTTCTCCTACAAGATGACTGAATTTTCCCTCATCAAAGAAGTGACACAGAATTTAGACCAAGACCATTGAAACTGATTTTTTTTTACTGTACCTATTCAAGCCTCCAAACTTCTGCAGTATTTCAGATCAGATATTTAGAAACTGATGTAAGTCACTATAAACCCTCACACTGTGTTTTGATAGCATGTATTGGAACAACCTAATGCCAATTTCCAGGCCCCCTGAAAATGATCCACAGAGTTAGAAAGAATCAGCAAGCAGCTCTCAGGGCTTTGTTACAGGCTGGAGGTAAAAGTTTTATTAACCTTCACCAGAGGATCCTTATCAGTGGACTTCTACTTTTGGAGAATAATCAGCTCCAAATAAAATATGCAGTTTCAGATGATCAAAGTGGGGAAGAGAGCAGAGGACTTTTTTGTGGCCTGATAGGAACTGTGGTTCTATGGAGGCTTCTCAATGAGACAAAACTCGTCCTCTTTGAGGAAAGAGTGCTCATAGTGTCTCCTGAGCTGTTACAAGGTAGACAAGACAGGAAGCTCAAAGGTCAGCCAGGATTGCTGTGATCCAGCAGCAGACCCAGTTCAGGAGGCCCAAGCTCTGGGCTCCCAAACTCTTGCTGTGCTCAGAAAGATTGATTTGCCCAGTAGCAGTGTCTAGGAGGCAAAGTCAAGGCTGCTGGCTCTCAGCAGGGAACTCCAGTGAAGGATCCTCTCCTCTACTTCATCTCCACAAGAGCACGCTGTCATCACTTTTGCTGAGCTGGGAGCACTGACCAAGGACACAGCCTTGTCAGGAGAACAAGTGATTGGCACTTGCTGCTAGAGCCTGCTAGGTAGCATTGGAAATACAGTGGGTCCTAAACCCCTGCTGCAGTGGCCAACAGGAAATAGATTATGTCCAATTTAAAAAGGAGAACATCCCTCTTCCCTACTTTGAACAGTACAAAAACCTTCCCACTGCTCCTGAGCTAGTCTGCCAGGAAGTGCTTCTCTGGTAGGAAGTGGGAGGCAGGATCTCCCTACTGTATTCCAGAGGGCACTTGGAAAAGTAAATGCTGCATCTGTAAAGCTAACTCACCTTTGGTGTCTGCTGACAAATGTCCCTGCTCTATCGTGGCACATTTTCATTACATACAAACTTTCTAGATCACCGTAAATACAAAATTCTGAACTGCACAGTCCTCCAAAGCCAGATATTCACTTGAATCTTCTCAGAACTTGTCAGCTTCTACCTTGTCAGGTAAGACAAAAAACACACCTTTTTGCCTCTGTACATGACACTCTGTGGAATCAGAACTTCCCCTTCACTTGATGAGATATTGCTAGGAAAATAAAGGAATTCAAAGGAAAAACAATACCTTGCTGCTTAATACCTGTGCTCCTTTGATTTCTTTTGTATTAAAGAAGAAAAATTAACAATTCCCACACATGCAGCTTGGTGTAAAAGAGCATTATGCAGGGAGAAACAGCCTGAAGTAAACAGCCTCAGCTTTAAATGACCCTGGTATCCAGCCCAGGGTAGGGAGTGGATCCTTCTGTTACCCAATAGAATATCCTACCCCTAGCTACTAGAATTGGCTCTACCCATGGGTGGAAACACTGGTGACAGTTAATAAAACTGAAAAAAATCTAGCAGTTAATAACACAGAAAACAACTAAGCAAGTCTTACATGAAGAGGGTTCCAGTTTTGCACTGAAAGAGTGTTTCTTGAATTCACTTTTTATGACTCCTGTATAAAACACTATGTTGCCCGAAAGGTAGGTGGTTGCAGTGTAGGAGTTGCGACTCTTGTTCCTGAAAGTGATAGTGACTTTAAAGTCATTGCCAAGGACTGCCTTTTGCGCTTGGAAGTCCATATCAACATCTGCCTGTGGCTGGTACGTGGTGTCTTGGATGTTTTGCTTTTTAACACCATACATCACAGCAGTCTCAAGAGCCAGCCTCTCCTCATCTGAGCCTAGGAATGAATGAAAATCAGATTTAGAAAAGGAACAGAAGTCCAGTGTTAGCCCACCTACCGATCACAAGGGTGTGTCTTCCATAGTTTGTGGTAGCTGAAATGAGTGGGTGAGGACAGTGATCCCTTCTGAGGTAACACTAGCAGTGGGAGAACTTCACATCTGCTCAGGGAGTTGGTGTTAAAGCCATATCAGAAAAACTGATGTAGCTGAATTCCTATCAATACAGCTACACGGTTTACTCAGTGTGAACATCTGGTCTGAATTAGAAATGTCTAAACATCTTTACAGAAAGCCTTGAATTGTTTTGAATGCTTTGAGTTGCTCCATGACTAGCCTTTATTTTCACTACACCTTACTTAATTTAAAGCATTTCAGAGTAGCAAAGTTTGTGCTCTGTTTGTGCCCTTATGATCAAGGCTTCTGGGATGGAGTTACAAATCAAGAATTCCTGAGGGCACTTTGGCAGCTTTTCATGAAGCTCCCTCAGTGACAGAGGTTTCCATGTCATCATCCAGAGTTTGACTGAGATAAGTCTACATGCATATGGTTCCAGCTCATTTCAGTTTACCTTCTCGGAACTTGTACTCCTCAGTAATGTTCACCATTCCATCACCTCCAACTTCCTTGGTCACAATCAACTGCCCAATTCGGGTTGTATCAATCTTTTCTACTACTTGGGTTCCATTTTTCTCCACTCTTGTGTAAAAAATGTCACTATTCACCTATGAAATTAAATGAAAGAAGATTGAGATATATGGAAGTAGAGAGAGGAAGTCAGCCTATCTCCCCCAAAATAATGACACATTGACTTAAGTACCACTAATTACTCACATCGACATTTCATGTTTAAAATGAGTCATATGCTGAGATGCATTTTACTATTTGCAGCTCCAGAATGACAGAGAGTGTAAACTTTACAAAGCTACAGAGAGGTCATTAAAATTTGGGGAGCACTGCTACACATTTCTTGTACCAAAAAGCTTTAGGAATAGAGAGGAGAATGCTTAACAGCTAAAATATTTTCATTCTTTTCTGTCCTAAGCCATTTACAATTCAATGAGAGAGAAACTTTTCCTACAGTGTTGCAATTCTGGGCATTCCTCCTCTGGTGATGCAAGAGGTTAAAACTCCAGACCAGGCCCTCTATCTCCTTATTGAGATATTTCCCTCTCAGATCTGTCAGTCAAATCACCCATGTGAGATCTCCATGACCCACAGCAGCCAAAAGGAAGGTGGTGAGCAAAGAGAATGAGTAGCTAGAGCTAGTGACCCATTCAGCATAGCTGAATCTTAGAAGGGAAAATGACCACAGCCTGGAGTTTTGATTAAGTCAGAGCAGCTTTTTCTCATTGCTACACTGGGGAGCAGAGATTAGAGAAACCTCTGTCATTCATTAGAGCCATATCACACCTGCTAGCATGTCAAAATACAATGAGATTATTCTGTAATATGAAGTATACACAAAGTAACTTCTCAATCCATAAATTGAAGTGGAACTATATCTTCTGTTTCGCTATGATCTCACTGATACCACTCATTGCAGTGAAAATTTTCATATATGTACCTCGGCATAGACAAAAGGAGCATCAAATTGGAAGCAAACGTGACCATGTTTAATGGCTTGAACTGAGGCTGGACCACACCTGTACATACCTATGGGGAGAAGAGACAAAGTGAGAGCCTAAATAAATTTAAAAACATGTAAAAATACTATATTTTCTCAAAGAAAAATAATTCTTGGGGTTTGACAAAATCTTCTAATAGCTTACAAGAACTCCTAACCAAGAAGCAAAAAGCTTAATTTTGTTACGAGTTCTGTAGATTCGAGTCTGGAACAGCCTGGTGGCTCAGTACCTTTAATGGCACTATAACATCCACTGTAAGTCTCAAGTGCTTGAAATACAGTTACAGCTGGTTTTGGTTAAAATAGATAATTTTGGGAGCACTCAGGTACACCACAGGCTGAGAAAGATCTCACTATAAATTTGAAAAGATTGTATTTTAAGGGCTGGGAAATTAAGGACTCAAAAGGAAGAGCAGTGACTATTCACTTTTTTTTTTCTCCTGTCTACTGCCTGCTCATGTAGTTTAGTTAGGGCTGCGTAAAGTAAAGGAGAATTAATTTGATCAGGCTCCTGTATAGGTACTCTAAAATGTGAGAAGCCATCTTTGGCAACAGGATTACATATGTTCTGTACCAAGCAGAGCCTTTCTCGTGCAGGACTTTGTGTACCAGGGCTTCATGAGCAGTGTTATAACAAGGACAGATTTATTTTAGAGTTCAAAACAAATCAGGAGAAGGCCCTGAGATGAGTGTGGTTATTTGGCTCAAGAAGTTGTCATTGGCCATATGGTGCCAGGTGCCACTGGCTCAGCTATCATCAGCCCATTGCTTGAATCAGAGATCCCAAACATCTGAAAGTGAGCTAAGAGCTTCAAGCAATATTACCATCACTGGTTTCCTGAGGTGTCCCATCAACAACCTGCCATCCTCCGAAACCAACAGGAAGGTCAGGTCTGGTCATCCAAGCTTCGTTCCAGCAATGATAATTCCTTAGACAAGAGATGGGAGCAGTATATCAAATTCTTGGAAAGAAGCACACAGACCAAAACAAATCCTGTGTATTTATGTCCTGGCATTGTTTCAATAACACCATTTGCCAATTCAGGGATAAAAAAGTTGACTCTTTTAAGAGAACAGATTTTTAGGTCCATAAGTTTGGTATCTACCTGTTAAAACCTGGAAGCCACAATCCTTCATTGTAGTTTCTTGACTGCAAGTTAAAGAAGCTTTTTTGTTTCTTCTAATGTGTTCTGAGTGTAAATGTCTGAGAAAATATGCCAGTGTTTGGAGATTGTTGGGGTATATGAAAAGCTACACAATCTAGAATCCCTTTCCAGCCAGACACCTCCACTTCAATCTGCCTGCTAAAGCAAACTTTGAATCTTCAAGCCAATGAAACATGGCCTGCTTTATAATTATTCAGACTGAAGCTTTGGCATCTCTTATGAAGAGATTTGGGATCAACTCCACAACATACAGTGTGCAGTTTTGTTTTCAAAACAAGCATGCTTTGCTGGCTTCCATGTTGGTTGAGAAAAATACCCTGCATAGCCTTTCTAAAACTGTCTTCACTGTGGATTCCTTCTAAGTTTTTTTCCCTGAGTGTCATGCCAATGCATGATTTCAGATTTCCCAAAACATACATCTTTTCATAAAACCCACCTACAACCACTGTGGGCCAACTTGTATCTTTAGGGCCCAGGACAGTGACCTGAAAGATAAAATTCTGAGTTCATCTAGGTGCTCAGACCTAAAACGTTCTCACCTGGCTGGATGCTCAGGAGAATTAAAAAAACAGTACAGCATCATCAGTCTGCCCTGGGTATTTCAAAGATGAGCAGACAAGACAGAGAGATGTTGTAACTTCCTGCAATGCTACTGATGCTCAAGGGAGAGCATGAGCAAGAAAAAAAAGATGATCTGGAAAGAGAGTCTCACAGTAAAGCTGCAAAGTGTTTAGATTTCATTACTGCAAAAAATAAAAGAAGGAAAGAGTAGAGAAAGGAGCAATTTTGCTTGCAAATTATACATATCCTACAGCAGATCTGAATAAAATTACACCTGCGTAGCTGCTGATATAGCCTCTAGTACACGCAATGATATTAGCAACCAAAATGGGGATTGTTAAACTCCGACCATTCCATTAATAATAGGTGAAAACCAGCTATGGAGCAGAGTCAAAAGGATCTGAAGCTTGTCTAACAAGACATTTCAAAGTGGAAATGAAAGCTTGGATCAGGGTAAAACTTGTCAGTTAGGAGAGTTAATGAAGCAGCACTACAGAAAAAGGAATTATTCAAGGAAAATGACGCACACTCAGAGAATTTTTGATGCTGCTGAGAGTAGTCAGTGCTGAATCATGCTCACAGAACTTTGCTGAGGGCTACCTGAGAATGGGGACACGCTTCATGGAAGGTGGGTATCTGCAAACTGCTATGACAACATATGAGAAAGACAATCCCTGCCCTGAAGCCTTCACTGGTTCAGTTTGAATCAAAGTCAGATGTGTCACTGGCTTTGCATTCGGAGAAAGAACTTGAAGAGTAGGCAAAAGGAAAGGATGATAAAAACAAGGCTGGGAGGGAGGGTAACAGTGTGGAAAATGGCACATCTACCTCAGTTCTTTGATTACATAACACAGTTTTTTCTATATTTTTTCCTGTATTCGTCTTAGGGACAGGACCTTTCTTTCTGGTTTCTATTGGTTTAGTGCTGGACGCAGCAGGATGGCAATTTCTTTAGGTCTGTTGCTATGAAAATAACAAATACACATAAGGATATCGAATGTGAATGGACAGAAGGACACTATTTGTAGAGCAGTGAGCATCAAGGAAAGGAGGATTAGGGAAACATTTGTCTCTCCAAAGGTAGCAGAAACTTCCTTATAGAGGTGAACATAGCTGAGGAGCTGATTCCATGGCCATAATTTTTTGAACTGATTCTATAATTCTTGTATTCTACAGCTAACCTGAGACATTAAAGAAAGCAAGAATGGCAATAGAGATCAATGTAGTGACCATTAAATATTTACAGAGATAATTACGGATAGACTAAACAAAGCAATTGGGAAATTAATAAAAGATGACCAGGTGGGTTTTATGCCTGGAAGACAATTCAAGAACAGTAGTTCGTATTGCTTATGGGACAGGCACATGCTGGAAGCACTGCTGCCCTTTTATGAGCTAACAAGTTCAGGCATTGAGGTCGAGAGAGACTGCTAGGGTCAGGCACTAACAATATTGTTGAGAAATTAGAGCAAAGTGATCTGGATGTAAATGGGAGAGCAGAGGTCTCAGAAGGGCTTTCTCCACATGCCTGGACATGGATGAAATCCCATAGGGTTGGGTGACATCAAGAAAATTCCCGCTGAGATGCTGATGTTGATCTGCTTGGACCTCACAGTAAGAGTGAGTCTTGATTCACATCCAAAAGAAATATTTTTTAAGTATCTTTATATCATCATTAAGAAAGACAAGGAGAACAGACAGTACTGATGGCCCAAATCCGGCCAGATTTATAAAAATAACTTTTTGCAAAGTCTGTGTAATTTTGTATATGTGTTTTGTTGGTGGTGGTGTTGTTTCCTATCCTGAGGGAGAAGACAATCTTTAATAAAAGTAAATAAATGTCAGATAACATTCAGAGGGAGCCCCACACTCAGAGATTGATTGGACTAAAAATCCTGGCTCCAAGTATCTCTGAAGTCTGAGAGTATTTAAGACCTGAAGATATATCAGCTCCAGCAGCACAAGGCTAGAGTACAATAGAAATGATATATTAACAAAGAAAAAGAGCTTTGCTTCCAGTTTGCAAGAGATTATAAATAAAAGTGAGAAATGCATTTAAAAAATCATTATAAATACCTTGAGCTTGTCCTCTTAAAAAAAGAAATGAAAAAGACATTAAAAATAAAATCAGGGTTAAGACACAAGTCATTAGGAGTCAGCATGTGGGCTACCAAGGAGTGTTACAGAGTAATGAAAAGAAAGGACACAGAGGAGAAATGAAAAGAGGTGTATATATTAAGTCATGCCCAAAGGGTTATGTGCACCATGTACTAATAAATGTGCTGGGAGGATAAAAAGATTAACAAGGCAGTTTAAAAAGTTATCAAACCAAGGAAAAGCAATGTAGGATGGAAGAATGAAATGCTAGAGACAAATTGCATATGGATTTCATTGGGACTAGGATGATTTTGAATGATCTGACCCTGTCCCAAAAGAATGCAGGAGAAAAGAGATGAAATTAAGAAGTTTTTGGATACAGCTGGGAAAAATTGAGGTAGGAAAGTAAAAAGAAATGTCAAAAGTTGGGGGGATGTATTTCATGGATCAGGTTAGGAGCAGGAGACAAGAGATGAGACAGTGAAAATTGTAAACCATAGCAATGATCCATTACAGGGTGTGTATGGATAGAGAACTGAGGCAACCAGTCACTGGCTCTTGTTTCACATCTTTTATAGGCAGAGGAGGTTTCAGAAGACTTCTCCTTTACAGCTCTCTGAGCCATAAAAGGACCAGCCCCATGAGATATGCTGAGGTCCATCTGTCTCACAGATAACAATCTAAACTGCTCAAGGAGCAACAGAGCAAAGAGCAGGACCACAGCTCTGGGTCTCAGGAGAGTAAACTTTAACATGTTTAATATCCTGCTTGGAAGAATCCCATGGGAGGCAGCTCTGGGTAGAAGATGGATGCAGAAGAGCTGGTTGTTTATCAAGAGTCACCTCCTCTAGACTTAAGAATGGTCCATCCTTGGAAATCAACCAAAAGTAGCAGAAGTCCACAAGGTGGTCCCAATTAAACTCAAACATTAAAAAAAAGGTGCTTAAGAGAGGGGACAGGTGACCAGGAGGAATACAGAGTCACATGTCTAAGCATGCAGGCACAGGTATAGAACAGCCAGAACAGAGCAAATCAAGTATGCCAAGGGACATGAAGAGCAGCAAGAAACACAAGCAAATCAGTGTCAAAAGGAAGCCTACAGAATGTGGCTCTGCTGTAGAACACAGAAGGCAACCTGATGACAAAGGATTAGGAGAAGGCATTCAGTGTCTTCTTTACTTTGGTTTTTACTGCTAAGTTCTGCCCTCAGGAATCACAGCCCATGAGACCAGTGGGAAGGTTTGCAATAGTGAAAACAAGACAAGTAACAAGATAGAGAACAGCTAAACTAAATGAGCACGCACAAGTACAATGGATCTGATGGAAAATATGAGGTAATCTCATAAAAAATGCTCAGGGAGCTTGCCAATGTCACTGTAAGACCTCTCGTATCTATCTTCAAAAGATCATGGTAATTGGAGGAAGTTCCTGCAGACTGGAGGAAATTAAATATTGCTCTATTCTTTAAGAGAGAGGAGTATCCAGGGAGAGAAAGACTTGTCAGCTTCCCTTTGATCTCTAGGAAGGTTATAGAGCAAGTTCTTCTAGAAAACATTTTAAGGACTAAGTGATTGGCAGTAGTCAGCATGGATTTACAAGCAGCCAGCTGTGCCTGACAAACCTGAGAGGGTTTTCTGATGAAACGAGTGACTGAAAGGACAAAGGGGAGACCAGTGCATGGAGGGGTTGGTCCTTTTGACTTTAGTGCCATCTCCCAGAACATCCTCACACACAAAACTTTGAAGTGTAGACTAGACAAATGGACTACAAGATATATTGAAAACCGGCTGAATTGCTGGGATCAGAGGGTTGTGATCAGTAGTGAGCTGGAGCTCAGTCATTAGTTGTGTACCCCAGGGGTCGATACTGGGTCTGACACTGTTTAAAAACTTCATTAATGACCAGGAGGTACTTTCTGTACCCTCAGCAAGTTTGTTGATATAGAAAACTGGAAAGAATGGCTGATACAACACAGATTGTACAGGAGGAGAAACAAAGGCAGCTGAGACTGTTCAGTCTGAAGATAGGAAGGCTGAGTAGGATCTTATCCACGTGTATAAATTCCTGGTTAGGGAGTTGAGGGAAAGAAAACAGAGCTAGACTCTTCTCAGTAGCCCAAGGACAGGACAAGAAGCAATGGGCACACACTGAAACAGAAGAATCTGTCTGAAGATCAGGAAACACTTTTCTCACTGTGAAAATGGTTGAGCACTGGCACAAGTTTCCCAGGAAGTTGTGGGATGGCCATCCTTGGAGATACTCAAAGCCCAACTGGACACAGACCTAAACAACGTCCTCCAGGTAAGAGTGCTTTGAGCAGGAAGGTTGGGTGACTTCCAAGGGTCCCTTCTAGTCTCAACTGCTCTGTCTTGCTGTGACACAAGCATCACATGTAAATCAACCTGCTTTCCTTAGATTTCCTCTTGATTATGGAAATCACATAAAAGATGTCACAGCAACAGGTTCAGTCATTTCCTCCACCACATAGTGGGTTTATTACAGTTTTAATACAAAGACTTCCAGAGATCAAGTTATTAATGAAACATGCTGATGAGCTGCTATGCTAATGAGTTGAAGATATCATTGACACAAGTCAGGTATATTAACACTGAATAAGACAAGTATCTCCTGGATATAGGAATGTAGAGGTCACATTCATTTCTTCACTCTGAGGAGGAGAGGCTTGAGGGCCAATATTCCACACAGAGCATATAATCAATATATGCTACACTTCTGTCAAACAGAAGACAGTAGGAGTTTGAAGAGCCAGTTAGAGGACTGCCTTCTCAAAAAGAATGTGTACACTCCTTCTCTTGACTCTAGGGAGTTTTCTTTTTACAAATGTGGTGATAGCATTTCAGTATCTTTTATGATACCTTGACTTGTATCTCTTTCAGCTGAACAGCGTTTATTTTGGAAAGCACCTCTTTGCAACAATTACTGTGTGCACACAACATAAAACCAGTTTACAAATATGGAAACTGGACACAAGCAGATAAAAAAGAGTGTTTTCCCCTAGATATTGAGGTACCTGTTGGAGCCTGGCTCCAGAAGGATGGAAGTGCCCATCCTACCCCATTCCAATTTTAGAAAAGCTGATCTCTAAGGAGCACAAGTCCATTCCAGTGCTCCAGTGTGCTTAAATGAGCACTATATGGTAATATTAATAGCAGGATCCCTCAGGGGTTGCCTGTTTACACAAGAAGGCTTCATATTAGTCAGCCTACCAATAATCATTCATTCTTTTTCATGTAAGCCAGCAGTGTTCTTCAACGCACAGAGAAATAAACACAATACAGGCATTGCCATCATGCTTTTTGCTACTTTTATCATTGAGACATTAAAGGCCTTTTCCAGGGAGACTTACCAGACAGAATCTTTTGTAAGTCTGGTGTCCACTTTTCCTTCGTCATCCAGAAAGAAGTCCAACCGTAAATTGGCATTGTTATCATGGGCAGAAGAATAGTTGGTAATGAGTCTTGCAGGTATCCCCAAGCATCTCAGAACTGTGGCAAAGACAGAAGTGTGATGAGAAGGACAAATATGGAGACTGTGTTCATGGATGACAGGATGAGAGGACAGAAATATAAATAACTAGAATGAAATGGGAAAACTCAGTCAAATCAACCCAAATAACTCCTCCTATCTGTTTTTATATTGCACATGCTAAATACTTTATTTGGTCTCTAAATTATGAGCATTAAAGACAAGTATTGGTACAAGGGTTATAACCAAAGCAGATGATTACCAATAGTTTCAAAGCAGCTTTGCATAGTGACCACATGGCAGAATTTCAGGTCAAATCTGGGTGCAACGGGTAAGCTGCATAACCAAATGTGATACAAAGAAAAAGAAGTTTGAGCTTGCAAGAGATACACAATATGTCAGATTTCTCAGTATCAGTAGCTCAGGAGAATTATGAGACTATGCTAAAAAGAAAATTAATAGAAAGTATCTCCTTTGGATTGATTTGGAGTTTTCCTGTTGGATGTTTGATGTCTGCTATCAGAAAGGATCTGGAGAACGCAATGAATAAAGTAGAAAATGATTGCTAACAATGGGGAAAAGCTGCCTTACTTGCAACTGAAATTACAAGCTTTGAGAATCTGAATCAAATGCATTACATAATTCATAATGCTGGCTAAGTAACAGCATTTTTGAGTCAATAGTCCCTTCCAATTAAAGACCTTAAAAGGAGGATCAAAAACAAAGCCCCCAGCCCTAACTCTCACACCATTGCAATAAAGCACTGATGACCCTTCTTACCATTTGACAAGTGGTAAATTTAAGAAATGTGGAAAAACTGTGGAAATGCTACAGCTATGTCTTGTAGTCTGCATCAGTGCATCAATAGGCTTCTGTGTTTGTTGTGCACCCTGGCACATAAATAGGCATGGAGCACATTCCTGGGCTAGGGAATGGGTCTGTGGGGTGGCACATCATCTCAGCTACTCCAGATGACATACTTTGTCTCAGCCAGAAAAAACTCCTGGCTGTCAATTTAGGAGCCAATGTGATTCTGTACAAAAGAGAGAGTGAGGGGTTTTTGGTGGTTGATGGGGTTTGTTTGGGGTTTTTTGGTTTATTTGTTTTTGGCTTGTTCGGTTTTGGGTTTTAAAATTTCTTTTTGCTTAGTTTTTTTGTTTTGTTTTTGGGGGCTTTTTGGGGGGTTTTTTGGTGGTTATGGTGGTGGTAGTTTTTGGTTTGGGGTGGATTTTTGTGGGGTTTTTTTTGTTTTTTTTGGGTTTGTTGTTGTTGTTGTTGTTTTTTGGGGGATTTTTTTTTGTTTGTTTTTTGTTTTTGTTTTTTTAAGGGAAAAGACTTTTATTGAAAATCCTATTTAAAAATTGTTCCAGGGCTGCAGAGTCGAACAGCCCTGCTGCTACTGCTGGGTTTTGTATATTCATTACTGTCACTACTGTGACTCCCAACAAGTGTAACACTGCACATTCATTTCAAGTTCCTGGATGAAAAATTACCTGGATGCATCCAATACCATATGTACCTATTGATTAAACTTAATTCAACTGCCCTCCCAGGCTTCCAGCACATGAGCCATCAGGGCTCATTGGAAATAATTTGTCTGACAATTTCAAGATTAATGACCATTTTTTGGAATGTTTTAGCATTTTGAACAGATGAGTATCTGGAGTGTACAATATAGTGACCTTGGAAAGCTGGACTGGTCACAGTGATAAAACATTGACAGATGAGAGAGACTCAGAAACACCTCAAAGCGACCCTGATAGTTGCACGTGATTGTTTGGACCTTCACTGTCCCCTGTGCAGTGGTCAGCAGCTGGATGTGTCAGTGGCTATCATCAGATCAGCCACTGGACAACATCTGCATTTCATAATGCTCAAGAAACTTTATACTTGCAGTGCAAAGTGCCAGGTCTCTGACTTGGCTAACTTAGTCAGCAAACCAAGTCTGATTTTGCCCCAGATAAATACGCCTCTCCCTTTAACACAGCAGGCTCTGGGGCTCTGCTGCATCGCCCCAGTTTCACGTGGCCTGCAGGCAAATTATTGCATAGTGGTGATTCAGGGCAAGTGTTGGGGAAAAGGTGGGAGAACTGGTGTGTGTGTGTCTGTCTGTGATTAGGATAAATCCAGATAAGGCAGAGAAGACAAAGTAACCCATGGAATCTACTGCAAGGAATTGCATCCACAAGAAACATTTTCATTAACTTTTTAAAACCCATTGTTTGAGATCAAAATAACCAGACAATGTGCACTCGCAGCCCAGAAAGCCATCTGTGTCCTGGGCTGCATCCAAAGCAGCGTGGCCAGTAGGCAAGGGAGGGGATTCTGACCCTCTGCTCTGCTCTGCTCTGCTGGGACCCTACCCGGAGAGCTGCCTCCAGCTCTGGGGTCCCCAGCATAGGAAGGACATGGACTTGTTGGAGCAACTCCATAGGAGGCCACAAAGTGTGTTCCCATGAATTAGCAGATGATGTTGTTTGAAAGTGCTAGACAGTCAAAACATGGGACCATTCCAATGCTGCTTTCCCCATTGGTTTTTATGACCTACAACAGTCTGTTTACTGCAACACTAGAACTCTAGTTTGACCAAATGTGTTTAGACTTAACCTTGTAGTGCTAGACAATTCATAAACTAGGCCATCATTTATTTTCTCCATTCTTTTGGCTCATAAACTCCACATAAAATGTTAACAATGCTCAGTTAAAAGGTGAAGGGACAGTGCACCTCAGTCTTCCTAGGAGTAATCCTCAGTAGGTGAGATTCTGGAGTAGAAACACTACCACATATTCCATATTGGGTAGTAATTTAATCTTTTAGGTCTAGATGACAAGCACTCTGTCTAAGAATTCTTGAAAGAAATGTGGGCTGTGCTGAAGGACGCAACTTTCTTTCACACAAACTTACCCTCATGAGTCACTGAGTACATTTCACTGAAGCAATAGTTAACAGAATTGTATGGAAGGGCAGCTGACCTGAAGGACACACCAGAGGTTTATCCATGACCATGTCTTTTACCCATGTATTTTTGAGTATCTCTACTATCTACTCCTGAACAGCACAGAGCTAGGAAACATTTTAGTTAGCTTTACCTAAAAACTCTGTTAAGCAGGAACCACATAGCAGCTTGGAGTTTTCTCAACTGATACCTACACGTGTTGAAGACACCAGCGAAGACCCAGCATTGGCCATATCGGACAGGTTGCTTGGAACTGTAATACTCCAAGAGAATGTCCACACTTCCTGTCCAGGCTGAAGGTGCAACACCATAATCGTACGAATTGTTCCAGGATCCAGCAATCACACCATTGTCATCCCGGGAGTTAATCTAAAGTCAAAGGAAATGAGCATTAGAGATGTCAGAGACTGAGTAATAAAAAGTTCTTTAACTCAGCAGACTGATAGGATGAGAGAGAGTGAATATAGAGAGTGAATATAGACAAATTTAGGCTAGAAATTAAGATAGAAGTGTTTCATTATGAAGGTAAGGGATAAATAGGACAATCTTGTTAAGGGCCATGGATTCTCCATCACTGAACAATTCTGAATGAAGGTCACACACTTAAAAAAATTCTGAAATTAAATCACCACACTAAGTATCCATGTTGCCAGTTAATAAGTTTTATTAACATTAAACATGCTTATTGTTACATATTTTTAATAAATGAAATCAGTTATACATTGGTAAGCAAGCCTCAGAAATATTAAGCTGTATTATTTCCATCATCTATTTTTCTGTCCATATCAGCCCCGAAATAGAGCCTCCTGATTTACAGCAGCTTGAGAGAAGAATCAGTCTACTGTTATTTTTAGAGTAGAAACTAATTTCTTTGGTCTGGCACACATGAAAACAAGAAGGAATTTGCTGTGTAAGTTTTCCTCTGGTAAGATTATACAAAGCAAAGAGTTTTGCTGACTAATGGCTATACTGATAGGCATTAACGAGCAATATGTCTCCTAGCTGCAATTTGAACCAAAGCAGTTGAGGCTGTGCAAAAAGCTCATTCAGTCTGTACCTTTTAATTATGCTAATGTGGAACAGCTACATGCCAGCCAAATAAATCACAATTCTCATTTAAAAGCTTTTGGCTGCATTAACTACTCTTTTATAATTAGGAAATCGACTTCCTGTGAACTCCAGGACTGAACAGAGATAAGTATTCAGAGTCATAACCAATGGGTTAAGAGGTTGTGCCCATCTCACTGGTGTAGGAAACATGCCAAGGAAAGAATCACTTCAAGGACAGGACAGCATGTTGATCTTCAGGCTCTACTCTGACTGTAATGAGTGGAAGAGAGGGTCTCTACCTGCTCTGCAATGTCAGAAAGCCTCAGGAGGATTCTAGCATGGGGGGCATGTCCTCAAACTAGCCCAACTCTAGCACATTTCAACTTGAGCAAGAATGAGGTTAAGTGCAACCTAAGATGGTAACACAGGTGGGATTTCAGCACCTCTTGCTCACTTCTCACTCAGGTCCAGATTTCAATGACCAAACACCTTACCCACTTATGGCCCAATTCTGCAGATTAGCCCTAAAGTCTGTTGAATCCTGGATTTCTGATGCTGAACTCCTCCATTTCTCTAAAATGTTGAGTAGCTCAAAATCTAATATCCAAGCATTATTTGGATTCATAAATGATATGCAATTCTTCCTGAGGACTTCCACACTCCTTATATGAGGGACTTTTACGTCTACTAATTCAGGGATGAGAAAACCACATTTGATTCTTTCTTCTATCTAAATGTCCAAAGCTGTATTTCTGATGTCTGGTGTGAAAGAACTAACTAAAATATTAAAAGACAAAGAGAAGTAGAGGTGTTCTCAATACTTCTTAGTGAAGCTGCTTTATTTAACATGCAAGACTATGAGGCTGGAGATCCCACTTCAATGTCTTCTAAGACAAAGAGCTCATTTTCTTAAAGCTGGGCAAATGCTCTAACAAGTGGGTTAAAGAATCATCTATCTCCAGCCACCATGTCTTGTGGACAGTCTATTTTAGTAGCTGGCTCAGGAGAACATCTAATTACTCTAGCTTATTCTGGGAAGCAGAAAGCATCAGTTCAGACCTCTAATAAGGCAAAAGAGAGGACTCAGCCTCTGTCTTCCCCAATCTGGATGAGTCTAGCATCTTGAATATTAGGGATGGGACTGCTCTTGCACCCCTAGCATGATTCCTGGTGCCTGGCAACTGGAAAGAATAGAGGTCTGAATAGTCTTCTTGGTTATTTTAGGTACTTTCATTCTGAGTGGGGTATGTTTTGTGGACTTCATGTTAAAGAGGACAGGGTTTTCTTCTGGGGCTAAAGCAGCCCACTTATGCAACTGCTCTCAGTCTGATTAGGTCACTGGGGGCTTGGATCAGACACAACAACTCGACCATTGCAGTGTTCTAAGACCCCACTGAGGTTAGCAGAGTTATGTGGAGTCCACATAAAGTTCCTCAGGTCCCCATCCAAAATTCCACCCACCATGCCACTGCATTATCCATAGCAGAAATAGCTTTCTCAATTATATTAGCTACTGGAAAATGAGCACATTGTCATGTAAGAAACTATTATGCCCAGAGTGCAATGTCTGAAAGTGGCTTTCCCACCAGTGAGGCACCATTCTCAGGAAAAGGCAATGAGACAACAGAAGTTGCTCGAACTTTAGTGGAGAGAAATAAAATGTCAGACCCCAGAATGGACAATTGTCAGAATGGACAACTGATCTGTTGTGTGCTGTAGAGAGCACATAAGGGCAAGAGGGCCAGTTAAATCAGCCCAGCTTTTATTTATGAGTCCCTTCTGACAGATATTAGGCATCCATTACATACCACTGCTGAGGCAACACGGCAGATTTTGATTGGGTTCCCACGACCAGAGAGCTCCAGCTCTGCCTTGTCCATCAGGAACAGACAAGCATCCAGAATGTTTTCTTCAAACTAGGTAAAAGAAAATAAGAAGGGACACAGGGGGAAAACTGACTCAGTTTTTATTCTGGAAAGAACAGGCAAAGCTATTTTTCCCTGTTGTTGTATTTGCTGATCAGTTTCAAAATTAGCTGGTCACATCAAAGCTCTGTTTAACAATAGAAATTTTCTTCTGGAATAATCATCCATGTGTGGGGGAAAAAATAAAAATGTGAGAGGCTGCGAGGGAAGAGAGTGTAATTTTCAATTCAATCTCAGTCCAGTTTCCAGAAGGTTGAAATGACAACACAGACTTTCTGACAGGACTTGAATTTTAAAGTGCTAACAAGTATATAATAGGAGGGTATTATAATAACTACAAGAAGCTTGTCTACTTGCAAAGGACTTTATGTCCTTCACAGATTCCAGACCTGCTAATTTCAGGACTTCTGCGACACAGCCAGTGCATTGCTGGGAACTTGAACAATAAGTGGTTTGCCAGTGGTAATTTGAAGACACTTGTATTTCAAAGTTATTTTTAAAATCTGTTTAACATTGACAAGCCAAAAGCTTATTATATAGATTAATCCTGGTCCACAAAATTTAGACATCAAAAATACCAAGTGACCTAAAGCAGTCTTCTGCAAAAATAGAGTGAAAAAGCACATTTTTTCAATCTAGCATGAACAAGCACAAGAATGAATTGAGGGCAGAGGTGTCTAAATAGACCAGAAACCATTTGTCACAGAACTTGCCCTGCTATGTATTTCATTTTCCTTTGAAGAAACTGCATAGCAAAGGAAAATACCTCTGTCCCCTGGAAAATGGTAGGAAGTGCACAATAATGAAACAAATACCTTCTAGATACACAAACTTATATTAACATTCAAGGCTGTGACAGAAACTCCATGGTGTTAGGTTTCATGTTCTATGCTTGCACGCTGAAATATATGATTCATGCTAATAGGATTTTTGCTCTCATGCTGCTACTAGAGTTGGATCGATTTCCTAACTCTCTACAGCCTGGATTAGGGCTCCTTGGCAGATAAGACCCTCCCAAAATTTGCCTCCTGAAGAAAGTGAGCAAGACCCCAGATCAAACTGCTGCTTTGGCAGTCTGAGGAGAATGAAGAGTGAGGTCAGAGAGCTGAAAAGGAAGCCCAAAGAGCAAAGACTGCTGCTGATACAGCAAGGAAGATGCGAAGGATAGAAGTGACATCCTAGGCAGTAGCTGAGCTCCAGCATAAGCCAAGAAAGGAGAAGCACCATCGTGTTTCACCATCTTCAGCCATTTCCTGGCCAATGGAAGTCCTTTGCTTCTGCCTTGAGGGTACCACTGCCTTTTCAGTATGTGTCCTCCAAGGCAGCACACCCATCCCATTATCTCCCACGCTTGCTCTGAATTACTTTCTCTGGAGCAGGTATTTGCTAATGATCACTTTATAGTCTGAGCAAAACTGAATTCATGGTGTTTGGGAATAGGGACACAGGGATCAGTGTTTCTCAGAGACTCACTACTAGTATTTTGTCATTACTGGCAAGCTGAATAATTGCACATCCCAGTCCACTCCACTGGGATGTGATGCAAATAATGTCGGATGAATGACTGTGCTGTGGAGAACCTCCTTCCCAAGGAGAATCCTTACAACATAAAATGTAAACTCTGGGCCCTCACAGCTGTCCCTCCTGGTTCAAATTCACTTTTCTTCTGGTCTGGCCCAACAATCTTTTACCAGGATCAAGGTCTGCTCTCTGCACTTCAATTAATCAGACCTGGGTTAGATCAATAAGAGGTTTACCCTGCAAATTAAACTTTTTTCATCTACAGTTTATGAGACACTGTCAATCTTGCCAGTATATACAGAAAGAATAAAGAGAAAATAAATGGCTATCAGGGTTGTTGCCTTCCACTCTAGCATTTACAAAGTGACATGAATGCTTATGAAATAACTGGATTAACGGAAGAGAGGACAAGCTGAAAGGGCTAGCTGGCTTACACTGTTGCAGCAGTGTAGGATGCAGAGTAGCCTTAACATTGAGGCCAGTTTTGACCTTCTTGACTATTCAGGGAATTAAAAAATATTAAATCAAACTAAATCAGTTTTCTGCCCTCACTTTTGGCAAGAAAATCCTATCTAGAGGGAAGTAGAATAGAAAATTTGCAGTTATAAGGCTGAACATCTCTGAAATATTAGAGGAACAAGAAAAGTAGTAGGCAGCACAGCTGAATGAACCTGGTCCAGGCACAGTCTCTGTCTGTTCCATTGAAGCTGAAATGAAAACAAACCTGTTTCACGAGCAAGGAACTTTGGCCAAACCACGTGGGAAAAAATACAGGTGGAAAATAAGGTGCAAGAAAACGCACAGATATGCCTTGTGTTACAGAGCAACACATGTAGCTGTCCTGGGCATCCTCCTGCATGCTAAACTGTTTCTACCAGATGACTTTCCATTTAAACCAAAGTAAGAGAGGCTGTATCACTTTTTGTACTGGTTGACTAAAAGCTGTGTTTCCCGCAGTCAGTTACAGGCAGATGTGATCTCATCTTGTCTGTGCTCTGACCTGACCAAATGCATGCACTGTAGAATTACATAGGCACAGTAGGTTTCCAAGCTAAACCAGATCAATGCGTGGACATGAGAGAAGTCATGATGCCAACAGAACTCTATGCCCACCTGTTTTATTTTTCTCACAAAACCACAAATCAACATTAAATGATCAATACAGCATCCAAGTTCTGACATTTTTCTGCTAGTGAATTCCTATGTGCCTAGATGTCTTCCAAAGACAAATTTCCCCTGAATCCGCCATGGAATTTTCTGAGTGCCTTTTACAGTTAGGAGGAATCACAGTCATGTTACAAGGAACACCTCCATCCTCACTCATTGCAGCCATGTTTCAAATGTTCTGTTGTTTTCTCTTCCTCTGTCCATGTTTCTTGCATTTTCTCCTCTCATGTCAATGCTTCTCGTTACAGATAGCAGCTTTGAGAACCATCCCCCAGCTAGTAACCCAATTTTGAGCTCTATGCTCCTTTTCAGTTTACAGCCTGAGTTAAAGTTTCCAGATGTCATTGTCCTAAGCAATCTTTTAGCCTAAGAACATTACCATGCACAAATCTATCTGCATTTTTGTATATGACCTTTTACCTCTATGACTCTGTGTGGCCTTGTGCTTTTTACTTACATGTTGTAAAGGGCTGTATGTCATAAATATAAAAATCATAATTGTATGATATATTAATAATCTAGGCCTTTCTGCTAGTACTTTTACTCACTCACAGCAATGCTCTTATTCTTAACATCTAGGATTGCCAAAAAATATATCTTTAATGGTTGGAAATGGACAGGGTAAGATCAGGAACATTCTGTCCTCCATTTCACTGAAAGTAAGAGAACCAGAAGAACATTTATCTGTTCCTTTGCAGATTGACATGCCTGTTAAACCCCTACAAAATGATCAATTCCATTAAAGCTCTTGGCTTGGGCTTGCTGAGATGCATCTGCCACACCCAGCTTTCACATGGGCAACCAATAGCAAAAGGTGCACCACAGCAGAGTGAAAATCAGGTCCTCTGATTTCAGCCAACACAGGAATTTCCATTTCCTAAGTACATGAAAAAGGACTATGGAATGGCCCTAACCCTCCAGACAGAACTACCTCATAGCAAAACCAAATAAATAATGCAATTTCTCAAGGGAGGCCAGAATTTGTGTCAGGAAGATGCCAGACTCCCAGAAAATAAACACCTCAGGCCAAGCCACCATAGGCCATAAATTTAGCATCCCAGGACATAAATCCAGCATCTGCTTTAAGCAGCATCTTCCACCTCCAGCTGCTTATTCCCCTCTCTCCCTCCCCCTTACGTTTGTCATGGAGTGAATCCCAAATCTAGGAACAGAGCAAGCCCAAGAAATTACCCAGGGGGGAAAAAAAAATCAAGGAGATGCATATTCAACTAGATCAGCTCTCCAGTCTGAGTCACTGCATGGCTGCTTGCAGGGGGAAAGAAGGGCCAGGAGGGCCCTTGAATTTTTGGTCAGCTTACATGCAGGCCCAGCTTTGGCCTCAGGATCTGGTTCCACAACTCTTATATCAGAGGCACCATCAGCTTATGGAATTTCTTCCCCGCTCCTTATTTATGCCTTGTTTTTGTCTCAGTCAGGAAACCAGTCAGACCCTGCAAACAACAGCACTGGCACAACCAAAGGAATGGTGCAGAGGCAGAAACTCCCTAAGGCAGTGCTGCCACAGGAAAAAAAGATGAAGTTACACCCTTAAATAAGGAAGAAAGAGAGACGTGAGTTCAAAGAGCTCTCCAGGGCAAGCACACTGGCAATCCATCCAGCTGAAGCTTTGAGGTGGTATTTAACTGAGGGAGAGAAAGGAAGATGTAAGGGCCCTTCTGCAAGGCTGTGCTAGGGAGGTGCCTCAAAAACTGAATGGATCCATCACCACAGTAGTAAGGAAGTACCTTCTTAATTGTACTGTTGTGAAAATCCAGGAGATGCAAGGAGTTCACCACGGCCATGTGTCTGTCCATTGGAGCCCCTCTGAGTGACAGCTAGGGTTCTAGCTTTGCTATCATTTTGATTCTGCTTGGCAATGTTTCCTTCCCAATCTAACACAATAAATTAACTCTTCCATCCCACAGGGATTTTTAGGCTGGTTAGTTCTTACAAGAAGGTTGAGGTAAAATAGAAAGTCTGAGACAAGGAGTAGTGGTTTTAAACTAAAAGAGGCTTGGTTTAGATTACACATGAAGGAGTTTTTTACAATGATGGTGGTAAATTGCTGGAACGGGTTGCCTAGAGAAGCTGTGGATAGTCCATCCCTGGAAATGTTCCAGGCCAGGCTGGACAGGAATCTGAGCATCTCGTCTTGTGCAAAGTGTTCATGTCCATGGTGGGGTGGTGGAGCCAGATAATCTTTTAAAATCCCTTCCAACCCAAATTATTCTATGATTTTATGTTATTGAAGGCACACCAATACCCCACTCCAGCCTAGTGGAGGGTGTCTCTCCCAGACTGCAAGACACCACTGGAGACTGTTATTATCAAGCCCAGGCAGAAAAGGGAGAGATTCCCCCAGAATTTAAAATTTCGGGATTAAATACTAGTTTGTCACAGGAAACTTGTGCCTGTCTGACCCCCAAGAAGAATAGAATTACTTCCACCAAGTTGCTAAAGCTCAAAAGAAAAGTCAAAAAGCAATACAACCTGTCGTCAAAAAATGAAAAAGCCCAAACAAAAAACTCTACTTTTCATAAATTGATTTGATCCTGAAGCAGCAATAATGCAGCAGCAGAAATACCTCTGCCCTGTGGAAACCTCAGCTAATGATTATAACTTCCAACAAGCAGCCTTTTAGTATCTGAAATATGCCCCTGAAAGAAGGTCTTTAAATATCAGCTATTATAGCATTGCTTTTCTGGATTAGGCATATACCTACTTCATACAATTTTAAAATGATACCCCTTATCTTTCTGAAGAAGAAACCAATAATGCATTCCAGAGCCCACAGTCTCAACCACAGTCTGGTGTCAATTAAACTCATTTGCTGTCCTACTGGGAGCAGCCAGAGAAGATCTAAACAGCTCACCTGCCCGTAACTCCAGCTTCTTGATTTTATATCTTCGATATTTCCATGGAATACAACACCAACATCATTCAGGACATATTCTTCCCTTTCTTTCTCATCATCCAGGTACACAGCATCCACTGCATTAGTTTACCAAAAATAAATATTAGTACAAGTGCTTTATTTTCAGATAAAACATTTTAGCATACAATACATTCATCTTTGATGAAAAGTACCCCTCTTCCATCAAACAAAGCATTACTTGCTTCAACAAAGTACAGGGATAAGGAGGTAGTGATCCTAATTAGGAATATGATACACAGCTTAAACACATGCAAGATGGAAAAGTGCTGGCAACTCCTGCCAGTTTTCTCAGGATCTGTAAAGTATGATTAAAATGTCACATCAAGAATTTTATTATTACTGTGTACAACTAATTTAAAAGTTGGAGCACCGTGATGTAATTTTGCATCTATATAAACAGATCAAAGAACAATTTCAAACCTATTAATGCTAATGGAAAACAGCTCAGGTCAAAAGATCTAAAGAAAAATCTGTAATGCATTAAAAAAATGGAATACAGTTTCTATAACATATTAAGAGAAAGGTTTGATTGCCTTTTCTGTACATTAGTTATTGACTGGAGTATCCCTTCCCCACATAGCTTGAGTGACCAGGTAATATGAGGAGAAATTCAAGTGTCTAAGTGAGAACTGGAAGTAATTGGATGAGATCCTCATAAAAACATATACAAAGGGTACATTCTAGATTGGACTTATATAAAAAAATCAAGAGCATATGCATGGATGTTGACTTGCAAACATGATTTACACATGTAAATAACACTACTATTATTAAATATCAATATTAACATTCATAAGGAACCCTGAACAACATGAAGCCATTCAGACATTCACAGGTAAGTAGGAAGCAGGCCGTGATGCTGTGATGTTAGAATAGTTGAAGATTTCTTTCCTGTGCCAATGCTTGCATTTTGAGACTAAAAGATACACATTAACAATTAATAGCATGGGAATTAATTAATTTGAGGAAATCAGTACTGTGGTCCTAGATAGCAAATTAAAGAGAACTTCCAATAGTTTGATATGAGCAACTACAAAACTACACTCACTGCTGTCATAGTAGATTTCTTCAGCACCCCACTACAAATTACTAGAGGATCATTTAACTTTTAAAAGTCTATTGATTTGCTGTGTTTTGTTGAAATGCTAATCAGATTTTCACTTTCTTGTAAACCTCATCCTCAAAAGTTTCTTCATTTCTCCATGAAACCGCAATTTGGCCAAAAATAAGCTAAAATCTGAGCCCACCAAAAAAAAAAAAATCAGTGGGGAGACTTACATTGGCCTCAGCTAGGGGAAGGGCTTTGCCAATATACACACCTGACCCTTCTGGAAGTTTTGTTTTCCCTCAAGATATTTTTATATTTCTATGTCTATATATACCTAAGGGATTATGCCTAGCTATGTGACATAATAACCTCCCAACTGGTGTGCAAAGGATGATAGAGAAGCAAGGGTTAAATACAAGAAGCCTGTATTGCCATTATGCTTTATGGCAGTGCTGTACAGGCTCTGATGACTAAGTATGACTTGGAGCAAGTAGAAGAACAGCAGGTTTGATAGAGTTTTACCTAAAGTAGGCAGGTCTAAGACACACTCTTGTATTTGGCAGGGTGGTATTCAACTGGCTTCTAAAGGCTGGACCATTAAGAAGTTTATAAGATTTTCATTAACCATTACCTAGTGAGCCTCAACCTGCACCCAGGTACAAAGAGGATGATCATGGGTTTACTGTATTCAGAGGCTAAGAGAGTGTTAAAACTTGACAGTGAATGAAAAGGCTGCAGTCATTTATGCAAGCAGAGACTCTCATACTCATGAAACTGAATATTACATGCCTTTTTTGTGGTCCAACAAGTTCTGTATAAAATGCCACTAAAAATATTTCTCACCTTACAGATCATGGAGGTTCTGTTTCATTAGGCTGGATTTGCCTGATTTGCTCACTGAACGATTATCTGCATTCTCTCACTGAGCTTTGGATTTATTAAAGTCTGTCCGTACAAATAGTACAGAGAGTTCATTTAAAGAAGGAGAATTCGCACCTTTTTCTGTGCAGTTACACATTCAGTGAAGTGTGTGCATATGCCTTCTTGACAGCTGTTGTTTGCTTTTGGGGATTAAAAATATCAACATTGATCTTGCTGGTATCAATTGAGATGCTTATGTTATTTTGAGACTGCATGATCTTTGCTAAATCAGATGAAAATTGATTAACTTCTCTGTCGATTGTTTTAAATATTTGTGTTTTTGATAAGGTAAAAAGGTCTTCTGTGTTTTACAGGGAAGCTAGCTGCTTTGATTTTTGACAGCTTTCATTGCCCTTGAGACTGTTTAGAAGAAAATATGAGGCATTTGTGACTACTTTGATGCTAAGCATGCTCTACATAATGCAACTCCTAATTATTTCGTGCAAGTGGAGGCTCACATCTGACAAACAGAAGAATTCCACAGAAGTGTACTGGGTTTGTTTGTTCTTCTTCTCTAGCAGTTCAGAGGTTTTTTTACTCACATCTTTTATCCTGAGAATTTACTAAGACACCAGCAATGCTACAAAGAAGCAAATTAGCTTCTATGCTGCTCCGTTTGAAGTTGGGTAAGGTGAAAATACACTTCACGTGAAGACAGCGCTGCGGGTAAGGAATCCCTTGCTGAAGACATGAGGAGTGCAAAGTAACCCTTTCTATTTGGGAAAGTGAATGAACATAGGAGAACTCTACCCAGAATGGAGGGACACCAACCCCAGCACAGCAACCCTGTGGTGCTGGAAAAGCCATTTCTTCATGCAGACAGTGACAGCTGAGCACAGCAGCACCAGCAGACAGCTGGAAGTGGAAGCAGCAGACTTGCCCTGAGCTCCCAGCCTCCCTTCAATGTGCTCCTGCAGGAATCCAGGAATGTAAGGCTGGGCCTCACTGGAACCACAAAACCTCCAGGGCTCATGTTGGGAAGAGGACAGTGCTGTGACAAACCCCAGGCTGCAAGAGCTAAATGCAGTTATCTACTAAAAACACTCTCTCCAGGATCAAGATCAGTATGCTGCCTTGAATAGCGCCAGTACTTGCCTACATTAATGTAGCAGAAGGATGAAGCTCTGTGTGAATTTTGCCCATGCGGAATCTATGACACAAGAAATCGAATTTAAGATTTACCTATAAAAGTAAGAAAATGTTATTGGGCCAAATTTGAATGACTGGTAACATGTGAGATGAGTCCAAAGTCAACCACATGTTACTAATCCTCAAACTGTATTAGAACATTTAAGCAGAAGAAATATGCAGCTGACTCAATAAAGTTGCAATGTATTTAATTGCTTAAATGTAATCCACTTTGCATGAGGCTTGGGTGAGCAAAATGCACACTTAAGCCCACAGGGTCTGCAATTTATTCAGCTACACTATGCACCTCCACCTGTGAGAGAGTCACAGAAGTCAGCACTTAATGTTCCCCAGCAGAAAGCTGCATCTGCTTGGAAAGAGCTCACAGCTTCTTGGAAAGAGCTCACAGTATCCAGATCAAAGGAGCTCTACTCTGCTTTCATGTGGTCTGATATTACTAAGAGTTTAGTTAAATTCCAAGAAGTTATGCTTAACTACTTGCCATTTGTATCTTCTGTTCCAGAACTGAAGAGAGCTCTGCATGCCCAAAAGCACATCGGTTTTATCTAACCATGTCATCTGACTGTAGAAAGATGCTGCCTCTCCTCACAGACTTTACCTTGCTTATTAAGTGAATGAAAATTTCACCTGAGTAACTGAAATCTCAATCCACTAGTTAGGTGAATTCACAGATGTTTGGGGCTAGTGTATATAATTTTGGAGAATCAAGTCCAGTGTCTTGAAATTATTCTTGGTTATCAGTCCTCAATGTAGCTAAAGGGATTAAAATATATTAAAGCATATGATGATTTTTTTAAGCAAAGTACTCTGTAGCTTGACTGGTAAAGTATTCAAACTTCTTCTGAAGCAGCAGGAAAAAAAAACCAGCCCTTCCCGGGAAAATATGTCAAAACTGAACTATAGTGAGAAAAGGAGTAATAAGAAAGGGCACAAATGCCTCCGTCTGAAAGAAAAGCTCATACTGACATATTGATGTTCCTCCAAAATGATGAGTCGGAAAGCTGCACCAGGCACTAGAGCCCATACTCTGCTCCCTGCTATAACAATCCCTATTCATTCCTGGCATCAGTCTTCTCTCTTTTTAATGAGGCTTTTCACTCAGATTTTTCTGCTTAGTTATTAACCCAGCAAACAAGTCGAGAAGATTTTCAAACTGTTGTTTTCTCTACGCTTTAACTGCCTTGGTTTTTCTACCCTTTTGTCATTCCACTGAAAAATCTTTTCCAGCCAGGGGATAAAGCATGAAGAAATAGTCCTTGATTTTCTAACACAAGGAAAGGAGGGAAAGACAGATATAGGAACCAATTAGCCCAAACTACCTTGGAGTAGAAGAGGAACAAAAAATGAGGATATATCAAAATCCAAATGAAGCAAGCAGGAAATGAAAACTACGGTAGTCAGCAAGGAACAGGACCTGAAGCCTTTGAGACACACCTGAAAGCATAAGCTGCAGAGGAAAATGTGGTCCCCAAGTTGACTGCCCTGGATCTAGGGTCACACAGCATGTCCTTGCTGCCCAGAGACTCTTTTTTGCTTTCCAAAGGGAGACTTTTTCCATCAACCTTGCCGATGCCTGCCACTGGAGGCAACTGCTGCATGTCTCACTCCCTGTGGGTTTACTTTCATGTTGTGGTTTTAATCTTGCTGGCTTTTGGACTCATTCAGCTCAGGTGTGAGGGAGGGAGAACACAAGAGAGCAAAATGTCCATAAACCATGAATAATGGTGCATCAGTCTGCATGTAGAGTTGCTGGGCAAGGAGGTGTGAAGTAGGGATCGATTTTCCCTTTTTCACTCTGACTAACACCTCACATCAGTTTGTGTGGTCCCAGTCTCACCACAGTGGGGTAGGCAACACCCCCCACATCACATCTTGTCTCTGCATTAGGACTGCATGCAGCCCTGGCTGGTTGTCTGCTATTCAATCATGAGGCAAACTGAGGCAATTTAAGAAGCTTTTCCTTGGATGTGCTGTGTGCTGCAGCGTCACTGTTCTGGCTGTTACAACACCCAGGACTAAAACCAAGTAGTGCTCTACCTTTAGGTGGAGAATTGCACCTCCCTGGCTGAAGTTGTGAGTCTGATGATGCCAAAACAAACCTTGAGAAATTTTGGCTGCTCGCAGTGGGTCATAGTTTTGACAATGTTTCGTCTCGTTCTGTTGCACACCCTCCAGAACAAACTTAGCACACTGCTCTGAGGTACCTTACACTGCTTTTGGAAGTGTCTCACGGTGTGGCAGGGCCAAAGGCCCTGCCCTCCCCTCCTATTCCCACTTAACTAACTCCTCTTTATTCAGCATTAATCTATATCTTCTTAAATAATGCATAAGCTAATCATTGCTTATATTCCCTCGGACTAGGGGCAAGTAATGAATCCAGCACAAATCATTCCATGTACTGACAGTAGAGCAGCTGAATAATGGGCTCCACTAATAATGCTAAACTTACTTGTCACTTGGTAGGAGGGCCCTTGTTTGGTAGAGGATTATTTGATGCAAATATTGTGGTAAAAAAACAGAAAGATGAAGGAAGGGTAGCAGAAGAATACTGAAGTTAGTTGGTGACCTAAATATACTGCAATACATGTGACTTGGAGCCTTGCAAGTGTCAGAAGCTGAGACAGTGCTACAGTCTGTCAGAAGGCTGAGTCAAACCTCTCTGGTCCTTCTTGCCCTCTCCTGAAAATCAGACACAGAGTTCAGTGGGTAAAATACAACCCTGACAGTGTAAAGCTTGATTTCTTCCAAGGAAGATTTAAAAAAAATAAATTTTTCTTCAACCCACCATATTATAAAAAAGGGCTCATTTGCAAAATGTTTTGTTCCTCAGAGAGGGCACCATTGCTAATTAGTCACCACTAAACGGGAAGTTATAAGGGCAAATGTCATGTAGCAGCAGGAAGGCACCACCAGTGATGCCACAGCAAGCTGACTCCACTCAGCCTGTGCAGGAACAGCAGCTCCTATTGAACTCCTGCAACATTTTGACTGCAGATGTTCAGTCCCAAGTGTGGCAATTAGTGATGTAAGTCAACAGACTACATGAGGCTGCCACATCCTGCCCCCCACCAAATCCTGCAAAAAGCAGGCCCATATTGACTTGTTTAAAGCATACACAGGTACTGGAGACTCTCAGTGTTGCCTATTCAAGTCAGAGTAAAACCTTGGGGTATGTTTACTATGAGAAATGGAGCCTGAACTGGTAAACACAGGCTTGGCCTCATAAAACTGCAGAGTTTAGATGAAACAAAGGCATTGGTTTCCAGCATGGAGCCCTGCTCACACAGTGCTATTCCCCACCCTGAAAGACTTGACTTTTAGCAGTTACTGTAAATTTTCCAGACCCAAACTGACACGTCTCCAACCTCCTGGACCAACCCACCTGAAACCTGATGAGGCCAGCAGCAGAAAGTGTAAGCTTTTGACCAGGTACTTACACTGGCACCAGGGATTGAACAAGATATAAGTGTCGGTCGCCGAATTCCTGCGTGTCCGAAGGATGCCATAGGGAGTCAAGACAGCAACATACAAGCGAAACTTCCCAATGATGCAGGTGGCAGAGGACATGATGGACAGCCGAATGGAGTTGTTTTCCCTGTGGATAATCTTTGCTCCCCACTGACCAGGTTTTAGCACATTGCCTACTAGGATTGGGATGTAGGTGCCTTTATTTTGCTGTGGGTAGCGACCTGGAAAGAGAAGTGAAGAGGTTCACTTGTTCTGACAATTTTTTAATTTTCTAGAAGTCCTCTGTCCTTTTGTCTTATTTTCAATGGAAGTGGCAGGTTTTAGTGGGCAAAAATAACCTACTCTCTCATTGTCCCTCACAGGGCCTGGCAATTTGACAGCACAGCCACACAAATACCTGCAACAGCTTCCTGCAGGCAGCCTGTGCCCATATCCCCACCCACCTTTCTCCAGCAAGCTCCAGTCTCACTGGAGCACAGATGGGAGCACAGATAGTCCTGCCAGCATGAGAAGGGGCTGTCCAGTTTTTTTCTTGCTCACCATTGTTTATCGTAGTGCAGCAAGCTGCACTCCAGCTTGTTCCTTGCCTTGATGTCAACAACATCAGCTAGACTGTTGGTAAGTTTAGGAGTTTAGGTGAGAGCCCCTTCCCCAGTTCAGATGTACCCACTACCCTGGTCACTAGCACACAAGTGCCCTCTGGGACACAGACATCAGCTTTGAGGCTCTATAGCAGAGCAGAACCCTCTTCTTCTCTGCACTACTGCACTGCCAAGCAGAGACCAAGCGCTCTTTCATGAAGTCCACAGAGATGGAGGAAGCACAAATGAGTCCACCTGTAGATACCAGTGCCTGGTTCCTGCCGAGCATCCACTCCTCAGGGACGTAGTGGAACCAGTTCTGGATGCCCAGAATATAAACCACCACATTGGGGCTGAATCGCTGAATCTCTGACAGAAATGGGTCCCAAAGTATGAAATGCCTCCAAAGTACTGCACGTGAGAGTCTGCCTCACAGTAAGACAAATCACACTCCAGAGAAGCTTATTTTACTCTGCCAACTCTAAAAACAGCTAGACAGATAGGCTACATGTAAACATGTACAGTGCCAGGATTCAAAGTTGTGTGAGGCTCCGCCCCTTGAGACTGAGGTAGAGCCAAAATAAATCTGGAAGCCAACCAGAAGTATAGACAGAAGAGACACTTCTGAGAAGGATGAGTTCCTTATCTCATTCTCAAATCTACTTTTCATTTCATATTTTAGGCTGAAAGTGAGTCTCATTCAAAAATAGGGTAATGAAAAGCAATGATGGCAGACGGAGGGACAGACTTCTATATTTTTCATTCCTACTATTTAAGAACTTCAAAATTAAACCCATTTTCATGCTTGCTTATTTTTATACTACCGATGTAGAGATAATCACAGATCTGAACATTGCTACATTTTGGGAAAGGACAACTCCAGCTTTAAATCTGAAACTTGCAAGCTGCCATGACATTTGTGTTTCTGAGAAATCTGGGGCTACTGTGCTTCATCCAAGAGATTATTCTGAGCACATGAATTTCCATTTTGCAGATATTCAGTGCACATAAATAGCCCACTTTGCCCTGCAGGCCAGGCATGCTGTAACCCATGAAGCTCATTCAGATCAGTGAGGAACACAATGGAAGGAAAAGACCTACAGAAGAAAAAAGGACTAGAATAAGAGAGCAAAATCAATAGGAAACACTAGGAGATAGAGCATTGGACACTTCAAATATAAACCATCAAAAGAAAGCCAGTGTAGAGAGAAGAGCCTATAGAGGTAACAGATCTGGGAGCTGAACACATTCTTGTTCTTTGTAGTGCAACTGTGTATGACCCAGCTTGCCTCTACGGTTGATATTTTGCTTCTAGTTTTGCCATAATCTTTTTCTAAAAAAAGCAGTCCGTGCAAACAAAGCAGCAAAGCAAACCAAACCAAGTAGTTGAACTGATATCCCTGAAAACCGTTAACAAGTTCTACTTTTAAAAATACTTCCCGTACCTCCTTCAGAAAGGTGGGAGGGGGAAGAGATTACTATTTTAACATGGTTAGGAACTGACATCCTTGTCTTTGCTGGAAGCTGCATGCTGGTGTAGGAGCCTACTGGGGACAGAAGCTGCGCTCTGGCAGTGACTTTGCACCACCATGTCTGTGTATGCCACGTGTATGTGGGGAGATTGCAAAATCACTTCCCAGAAAATCTGCCTACAAGGACCAGATAGGATCTCAAAGAAGCGATGAAAACTTTTCAAGACATCCTTATGGGACCACTGACACTGGCACCTTGGCAAAGTACCAAGCCTCTGATATTCTCACTTTTTCTGAAAACTCAAAACCCCATTTTCCCTTCCAAACAAGCAAAGCCACAAGACACCATAATATACCTTTTTCTAGACAAGGGAGCAGCTGTAGTTGCTGTTGAGGAGTATGCAAGGTTCTTTCAGCCCAGAGCCCCACGCAGCTGGTCCCACAGAGTAAGAGGTCACTGCATTCGCTTGCTCACCCATGAGGAGAAGGTGCTCTGGGGCACCAGGGATGCTCTACATCCCTGCAGGCATGGCAGATTTGCCAGGGATGGAAATCCTAGAAGTCAGGATACTGTGCAGATATTATAAATAGTAAATACAAGAGTATGTTGTTTGCTCCTGACAGACAATCTTGATTTGGTGCTTGCTAATGGTTACATAAATCCTGAAACCACAAGGAAGTTTGGGAAGATGGGCAGAGCCTTCAAGAGCACAGTGAGCAGTTTCCAATGTTTTCTTTGAAGAGGGGACAGGTTCCCTAATCTTCTGAAATAGAACCAAACAAAACCAAACCAAAAAGTAAACAAAACAAAACGCAAATAGAAGAATAAGGGGTGTAAATGAAAGAGTAAGGGAATTGTTACTTCTGTCAGGAGCTTATGGAGCTGAATTGTAAATGCACATCTAGACATCTGACAGCATCAGCCACACTAGTCTCATATACACACATCTGTTATCTTGATACTAGAGTGTTATAAAGCTGAGTAACTTTGGCATTGCACACTAAGGTTGCTGGCCAAATAATTCTTGCATAGGCTCAGTACTATGTTTATCAACTTTGTAGGGAAGTCCTATCAGGATGGCTTGGCCTTTTGACCTTTATCTACATCTTGAGCACACATTTCTGGCTGCAGTGGAAAAGTAGATCCAGCTTTGGCTCATAGTTGGGATATCTGCAATATTGGCTGTTTCTCAGAAGGGGTAACATGCAGTGGTGATTTCATTCTCTGGCTGAGTCTTTAAGGAAGAAGATTCAATACTATCCAAAGACTCATTACCAAAAGCCTGTGAATGCCTGGCAGAACACTCTCTGAAGGGTCTCTGGTATTAACCCAACCCATGGAGAGGCAGGAGGCAGTTTGAGTGCATCTCAGGACTGGGACATGTCGACAAGATAAACCCTTTTTATGCTGACAGGAGGGTGCTGACATTATGCCAGTAGCATTAGTTGGCTCAGGATCCCTCCAGCTCTGATTTGCTCCAGGAGTTGGCAGCCTAAACCATGCTCCACAGCCAGCTCTTTGTGGTTGCCTCACTCCCCAATGCTCACGTTTGCTTTGGGTGTAGGAGGCTCTGGCCCTTACACGAGGACATTTCACAGCCAATTGCTCTGTGGCAGACAAAATCGTTGTGTGACATCATGCTGTTGGGATGTCCCTTTCTGCTCACTCTAACAGCATGTGGTAATGAGAAAATCCAGCCTGTGAACTCAGAAAGTCTGGAGATTCCTGCACAGGATGAATTTTTTTATAGGCTCCTTCAAAGACATCATGTACTGAATAGAAGCTGCTGACTGTCCTGCCTTTGAAGCAGGAGAGGACAGGAGAGAACTCACTTTCTAAGACATGACCCCCTTTCTCAGGCCTCCAACCCCTGCATATCAGTGCTAGGTCCTGAGCCACAACACTGCCAGAAGACATTACTTTTTATAGAAACCTCCCTTGTACAGAATGTTTAATGGCACAAACAAATTATTTCCTCTGATACACAGTGCACAGGTCTGCAATCCTTTGATACTTCTTTTTTATCCTTTCTTATTCCACCCTGGTTTCTGTAGCTAACCAAACTGCTCCTTCTCACTTCAGTTGCAGCTCAGCTCAACTCTACGCTTCTTGAGGTTTCCAGGCATCCAGGAAAAGAGGAGCAAAGTATCTGCTGTTGCTATTAAAAGAACTCATAAAATAAATTTAAAAAACATGAATAAAATATCTACATGGCAAAAGGCACCATGCCTACAGCATGTGTGGATGTGGGCACGCATGGGATGTCCCCTATCACACAGACACTTTACAGGGGCAAAGAGAAAACTGCAGCATTGGTTCAAGCTTGACAAAATCTATATGTACCACCAAATAATGAACCATCTAAACCACAGAACTGTGGCCACACACACATGCATTCAAAGTGAGTTATTTTCAACATATGCCTTTCCTGCCTAGCATGTCAACTCTGGGCTCATCAGGCACAGAGGCAAGCTGTGTTAAATTCTGGGTAAAACTGCCACAGCAGAGAGAGATTTACAGCAACAGAGAGAGGGTGAGAGATAGGTACAGTGAGTTCAGCTGTCAAAACACGAGCAGTCCTCCTCCAGTTATCCAATTCTGCTGCTGCTCTTTACAGGTGACTAACAGGAGCCAGGGCTTGCTTGGACTGTTCTCCTCCTTCTCTATCTTGGCCCTGGAAGCTCCTGACTACATGTAGTTTAGTTTTCCCCTTGATCCCCAATGGACATGCACACTGCTCTGTGTGTGTGTGCATTAAACAGCTCGTAAACGCCACGGCTGAATTAGTGCCATGCCGTTGGCACAGACACTGGAGGGACCAGCAGGTGCTCTTGGATAGGTCCTACACAGCCGAGCTTTATTTCCAGCAGCAAGGAGGGAAGGTTTGGTAGCACAGAGATTAGAGATGTAGTGAGCTTCACAGGACATTTCCTTCCTCATCAAAGTGGGATAACTCAGAAGAGAAGGAGGTGAACAAAGATGTATCTTGGTAGTCTTTGTCTTTTTAGGAACACTCCTTGGAAGATTTGCTATTCAAGGAGTCAAGTGATCTGTCTCCTTTTGGAATATATATTATACACAGTATTTAACAATTTTCCTATAAGTTCATTTGTTTTATCTAGATACACTCTTTCATTTAAAGGGTAAAAAATCTATTTCAACACCAT